GTGACTTCTTGACTTTATTGATTTAAAACACAAACTAAAAATTTAATAACCATAATTTCAGTGGCTCCCTAAGCAACCTGATACCCAATTAGCGGCAAATATTCCATATAAATGGGCGCCCTTATCCAAAGTGTACTTTGTTTCATAATAATGAGGTGTACTATGCCTATTTCGAAAAACATACCACCATCAATATTTTGCTATTAATATTGTTCTGGTTTTGTTAACCATCTCTTGTAAACAATTAGTTTATAAAAATCATACCAACATTTTTTTTTTTTGGTAAATGCCTTAGGCATTTACCAAACGATAATCGTTTATCTAATGAGACATAAATAGAATAAAATCTGCATCCTTTACTTGTAAATTTTGGTACGGCTAACGTTTTCTTCTTTGTTTTTCTTTCAATGGCCAATTGATAGGAATATTCACCTACAACATCTTTTCTAATTTCTCACACAATTTTTTTTTGTTTTTGTTTTTGTTTTTTAATTGTGATAATGTAAGCAATCAGCCTTTAATGAATCACTTTATTAATATTCGAAAATCATTTAATTTTCATTTTTCCTCCATTAATTTTATATTTTTTTATTTAGCTTTGTTTTTATTCTATATAAAGTTACATTGTAGTAGGCTTATTTTCACAGTATTAATATTACATAATAATGTTATCATTAGCTAGGTGGAACTGCCTTAGCATTTTCTTCAATTTTATCTTAAGAAGTAACTGAGTGGATTGGCCCGAAATTTTGATATTAACTTCTGTTTTTAAGGTACATATAGGTTAATCCATATTTTTTTTTGTTGTTGATGTTCGCATAGGTTAAGCCAAAAAATTTTTTTTGTTGTTGTGACAATATTTACTAACATCCGTAACAATTAAACAAGGCATCTTTCCGACGGAGACGTGATATGGATTCATATGAATCATATAGACTAAAAGCACAAAATTAACTTTGAAGAAACTTTTTGACTAAAAATTTGAAAAAATGGTGTTACGAGCTAATCATAATTAATATGGATAAGAAGAATAAAACAAGTTTTCACCAAAATCTAAAAAAAATATGGACAGATCCGCCTATAACGATTAATTAATAAGCTCATCGGGGTTTATAACATCTATATTAAGATCTAATTTTTAATTCTAGAAACCAGATTTTAACGAAATAGAACTGAGGCGCATTCGTACAATTTTAAAAATCTGATTCCTCAAGAAGGTCCAAACCGATGTACAAAAAGTTAACTTAAGTTATTTTTTTTATGTAGTACAATATCACTTACGTTCTACACATATTTATAATTTTGTTTGATGTTATGGTTAAAGGTCAGTTTTTTTTTCTTTCTTTTTTCTTCTTTTAAGAGGATCTTGGTATTCTAGAAATGGCAAAAAATCCGACGGATAAATTATTTTTTTTACTTATTTTTGCACTTTTAAAATTTTTTTTCTTTAATCTTTTAATCTTTTAATATTTTAATATTTTAATATTTTAATATTGTCACATATATATTATTGCAATATTGTATCTATCTATCTACCTATCCAGTTACTTAAATAAATTTTCACTTTTCAAAGTTAAATTGTTAGCAAACGATGCTCCTTGAACTAATTAGTTTATTATTAACTCCCCACCAAAACCTATTGAAAAATCTTTCCGTGTCAACGTAATTTAACGTTAACGAAAAAAAAATTAAGCTTATTTCTGTTTATTGGCATGATTAGAATTATTTTGCTATCCGGTTATTAAAAATATTTTAAAAAAAAACTTCTAGTTGTCATTAGTTTCATATTGGAAAAAATGACCGTTATTAAATCCTTTTCACTAGCTATGATAACATGGTTAAGTCCATGAACTAGTACAGGACTAAAACAATCTTTAAAATTTCTGACTTATCCCAATTTTAATTTTCCCGGGGGTATCAAAACCAAGCTATTATATCGGCATTTGATTTCAACTTATTTCAAATCTAAGGCATTTTTAAATAGCCCTTGGAGGTTTTTACAAGTACAATGTTTTGCGGAATTAGTTTTCCGCTAAAATACGTAATTTCTCTATCCCTACGATCTCACTATTTGGAAAACTTGCTCTAGGTGACTGATATTAACTTTTTTTAAGAGCACGTAAGCAAGAAATAGCATATTTCTAATTAAGTGATAGAAGTAAGCCAATTTTATTGTTAACTTAAATAGATTTCAAAAAAATATTACTGTTTCCCGTTATGCCATGAAAGTTTGAGAGCACGTAAGCAAGAAATAGCAAATTTCTAATTAAGTGATAGAAGCAAGCCAATTTTCTTGTTAACTTAAACAGATTTCAAAAAAAAAAATATTACTGTTTCGCATTATACCATGACCAAAAAGGCGACTCGATCTGAGGTGCTTCAAAAGGATCAACGATATGAGACATGCCCAGAACCTAAATTTTTATTTGGGTCTTTAATTGATAAATCAACAATAATATTTGTAAAAAAATTCCTTATTCAATTGTTCTTGTTTTTTAAAATATATATATATATATATATATATATTTTTTTTGAAAATATTTGTCCTACGAGGTTTAACCAAGATGACACACAGAATTTACAGAGTTAACCAGGTAGTCCATATTTTATAGTTTTTTTTTTTTGTCTAGGTTTAGCTTCTGCTTATTACTGTACTAGGTTAGTGTGGCCAGTTTTTAATATTAATATCGGTGTTGCTAAATTACTCAAAAACGACTGCCTTCACTATAATGTTGATGAAGTTTTTTTTTTCTCTCCTTTATGTCACCCCACAGTCAATATTTCAAAAGTGAGGTTAATAAATTTTTTTTAAAGTTTACATTAATAGATTCAGAGCTGGAGGAGGAATATATTATGTCGATGATTGCAGAGAAAGATTTTAGATAATATATGGATATAACAACATGGAGTCACAAAGTAAATTGAGGGAAAAGAAGAAAAGGTCAATGTAATAATAATAATTGAGTTAAGTGATCACTTAATTAACATAATTAACATAATTATGTTAGATGATGCTCCTGCCAAATAAAATATCTATTCCTTCTCCTTCTTATTAGACGAACTTTACTGTTTGCTAGTTAACAATACGTCTATGGGCGTATTTTTTTTTTCTAAACAAGGGATAGCAATATATCATCAGCCTATAGGCGTATATAATTTTAACCATCACTGTGCACTGTGCACTATTTGTCTAGTTAATGTGCCGAAGTACCAGGGTATGTGCTGTACATCGGAGCCTTAAAGCGCCAATAACTTCAATCTTAGATAGATAATCTATTAATGTACTTTAATTGAGGCACGCCACTCTTCATTCGATTATGCTTAAATGGAAATTTCTTGTAAGCCTAGAAGAGGCTAAACTTAAGAGGTTATTTTTTTTAATTAAAAAAAAAAAATAAAATAAAAACGAAACCAAAACTTTAAAATAATTTTTTTTTATAAGGACCGATTAATATTTTTTTTTTTTTTTTGGTCTTGAGAAATGACTTTTAGTATTAATGCAAACCCAAACCATTATGACTAGTCACGTTTTTTAGTAGCTTATTGTTTGTAACTTTGATAGATAATATATTTGGTTTCCTCGGGGAATTTCTAGTATTTTCACCTTTATGGTAGGTATTTTTTCTTTTTTTTTTTTTTTCAAACAATACACATTATACAAACACTTTGCAAATATATATTTATATCTATATTATTATGGTAAGAATATTCTTACTAAATCACGTGGATTGTATTGATTATTTGCAAAAAAAAAAAAAAAAAGTAAACAGAACTTATTTATCTTATCCGTTATAACCCATGTAGACATTAATGATACCTAAAATTAAGTGGTATCGAGCAAAGGAGTTGCAGCGATTACGTATGATTTAACTAATTTAACTGATTGAACAAAAACAATAAAATTATAATAAAAATTTAATAATGTAGTTGTCCCAATGAAGCTATATTAAATGCCATGCAACAAGACAACAAGAACAATTTCTTATTTGAAAGAATTATTTTGGACAACAAGAATTCAAATGACTATTAGACATTCCAAAAAAAATGCTTTTAATCCATGAAAAAATGTGGTGTGAAGAAATACTTAAAATGAGCTCTCAATTACCTTTTTTTTTTTCTTACAGTATCGATTGTGGGGGAAAATCATTAATTTTTTTTTTTTTTTTTTCAATTCATTATAATGACATTTCTTTCTCTTTCTCTTTCTCTTTCTCTTTTTTTATACTGGAAACCTCCTAAATTTGAATACGCGATTTTCATTTTTGATATCGCAATAAATTATTGTCTCCTCTTTTATTTCTTTTGTTTGTTAAATCTAAACAGAATTATAATTAATGAAAAGCTGATCAGGACAAATTGAATATCTAAAATTGTTTTTGAGGTCTTAAATTTTTTTTTTTCCCACGTTCTTTGTTTACTTTTTTTTTTTCTTTTTTTTCTTCTCCTTAATTTTTTTTCATTTGAGTTATTTTATACTTAGTCTATTATTTGCTTTAAAAAATAATATTTTCAATACCCACAGGTTGGACCTTTGTTATGATACAAATTCTAGTTGAACTAAATGTCCTATCAATTGACATTCAGTGTCAATTGTTAAACGAATTTTTTTTTTATTTTACGACTTCTTAGTCCAACTAATATTTTAATACCCATTTGTTTTCTATGACCACTTGTCAATATTTAAAACTGGAAAACAACTTGTATTTAAAGTTGAGGCATGATGAGCTTCATTGAATCATGAACCTTAAACCATTCTGATCCACTATTACCAAAAAATAAATATAAATATAAAAATAAAAAAAATTTTCCCAAGTTTTGGCTTTAATTCTTAAACTTTACTCGCCTCATGCTTAAATTCCATCTTCTATTTTGATTAATGGAAACAAATTTTATTATTATTATTATTATTATTATTATTATTATTACAGCTATTATACAGAATTTTCAAAGCCATATAATGGCAACGTCTTCCCTTGGTATTATTCTCCTAGTTTTTCTTTTTAGAAACCCCCATAACAACTTAAATCATAAAGCTCATCATCCGCTTCCTTTGCCTTGCTAAACTTTTCCTTCTCTGCCTCTCTTGCACGGTCCAACTTTTTGTATTTTTCTTCCAGCACTTCTTGGCCTAGTTGTCTCACCTTCTTCACCATCATGTTGCGTAGCAGCCCACGCCGCAAACAGTCGCCCTTGTCCATCCGGTAGTACGCAGAAATTTTTTGCCGTTGTACGCTTTCTAGCTTTCGCTGTACCTTGCTAGCTTCTTTGACCTCTAGCTTGCATTGTTTTTTGGTAGCATTCTGCACAAGCGCTTGCACCCCTAGATCTAATGCTTGTCTGTATGCTGCTTCTATTCGGTCTTTTGTTTTTTCGGGGTTTTCATGCATCTCACATTTCCTGCATTTTTTCTCTTCAGTGGTTTTTGGACATTTGCTCGGGTCAGTGGTGAAGTACATACTTTCAAGGGATTTAGACAATTTTTCATTGAATTCTTGTATTGAGGACCTAAGATTATCGTATATTATACTCCGTCTGTTTTTCATTTCTAGCGCAAGATCTTGACGGTATGTCAATGGCTCAGTGATACCCTTTATGCACCTGCTTTTAACCAGAAACCGGTCCAGGGTTATTTGTGACATGCGTTGGTAGAAATCCTGATTGGGGGTCAGATTTTTCTTCTCTTCTTCATCGTCATCGTCGCTTGGTTCGTCATAAAGCACAATACTTGGCAGGGCATGCTGTAGGTGGTGGTCCAAATGGTACATGAGAATCTCATTTTTTTTAAAAAAGAGATGTTTGATTTTTTTGGGTGTTATATCCATATATTTTTTTAATACCGTGGCTGGGGCTTTGACAGGTTTTTTATGGATGCATTTTTGACTATTAAAAGTCCTTGGATAGCGCAGTCTCTTTGAGTAAGTCATTTTTTATTTTTTTTATGTTATTGTTGCTTTTTTTTTTTTTTTTTTAAAAATGTTAAAGATACCATTATTCAAGATTTTGCTTTGCATTTATATACCAGAAGTACATGGCTTTGCATTTATTTCTCATGTTTGTCGTTTGATGTTAATATATTGTTGCATTAAAGCCATATTATTAACACTAAATTTCCCTTGAAGCATTATTTTCAACTTTTTTTTATTTTTTTTTTATTTTCAAAATTACATTTATCATATATTCATTTTTTTATACATTGTTAATACACTATTTTGAACTCCATTTAATCAAATAAATGGCGTCTTGACCATTTTTGTCGAAACGACTTAATGGGATGCAATAAGGAAAACTTTCCAGCATTGAGCTTCATTGTAGAGTGGAAGATGATGGACTCTGCAATACTGCCTCTTCCCAGATTTTTTCTATTATGCCTAGTATTGTAACGGATAATAGCACGACCTCGGAGATCCTCATATGTGATAAACTCGTCCAGATACTCGTCATCTTCAGTCCCCTTGTAATCGGGCTCCCAGCAGAGTGGGGGAACCTCGCTGGGGAAGAAGGTTACGGTGACAAGGTTGATTTCATTAAAGCGAACAATTCTTTGCTGGTAAGATTCAGAGTCTATGGTTGGCTCTTTTTTGAAAAAGTGTTTTTTAAACGACTTTTGCTTTTTCTTTAGAATCGACTTGAGCTCAGACATCAGGAGTCACTGAAGGTAAAAGAAGTTTGTTAAATTAGGGGGGGGGGGTTTTTTTCGTTGCTTGGTTTGACTAGTTAAATTTGGGAGAACTTGAGTATTTATATCAAGTTCTAAAATCAATTATACCATGAATCTGTTGGTTAATGTACATTACACCATGAGTATACAGATTAATGGTCAAGCTACACCATGAATATATTGATTAATGCTATTTGAAAAAAAAAAAAAATCATTTTAATGCAATTTTATTGAGCTTACTACTAAAATTTTACATGAAATTGGGATCTTCTCGTACTTCACTGGAGTCTTTGCACAATGCATCCATTCCACACTTTAGAATCTTGTCCAACAGGTCAAGACATTGGGAAGCACGGTTACCGTACCAGTCAAACTGTTTTTCAATGGCAGCACATTGGCGACTGTATTCGTGCAATGCAGGTGCACCATACTCGGCAGCTGACAAAATGAGTGATCGCCTCATTGTCATGCGTCTCAAACTATCTCGGCCCTCAAGTCCTGGGTAGGGACCAGGTCCAGTTTCAGCCAATGCTACAAGGTATGCCTGGCGGTGCTCTAGCTGGGCAATGTTAAGTTTCCCGCATTTGATTGTGATAGCCAGGTCGGCCGTTGTTTTGATGTAGACTGTGTATTCCTCGAGTACGCGGGCCAAGAGTGTTTTGAACTTGTCGAGGGTAAGAGAAAGTTGCATGTAGGACTGGGTCGCTACGCCTTCTGGAGACTCCTGAGCCTCATCAGCAAGGCGAATGTCAACGAGCTCGCTAAATTGGTCAACGTCGCAAGTTTTTTCATATATCATTTCATCACGCGAGACCAACATTGAGTGGGTTGCTTGACGGCGTAGAGAGTCATAGTGATTTCGGGAGCTTGGTCCTAGTTCTGGAATGGGGATAGCGTCACGTTTGGTGAGAATGGTTACCTCTGCATACTTGTCGAGGGTTGTTTCAGCTAACTGGATGTAGTTGCGGGATTGGGGGGTGCTTGACCAGTTGAGAATGTTAAACGAGTCAAGAGGCAAAGGAGGGGAGCAAAATTCAAGTGGTGGGGGTGGGGGGGAAGAGCTAGTTTGGTCATGGCAGAAGGGTGGGAAGGGGATTTTGGTCATAGGCCAGTCCCAGCGAGTCATTTCCTCTTCAATGTCTTCGGCAATGGGAGACAACTGGGGGACAAAGGGGGGTTTGTTTAAGGATAGTGGGGCAATCCATTCATTTGAGGGGATGATGGGTTGGGTGGAGGATTGTTGTAAGGTTAAAGGAACTGGTTGAGCCAGGAGTGGTGGGGATACACAAACGGTAATTTCAGTGGTCTCACTTTGGGTTGAGGAAGAGTTTTCATAAGTGCTTACAGTGGAGTATTCCTCAATACTTTTGATTGGGGTTACTTGATTATTTTCAAGATGATTGTAAGGTTCTTCTTTATCTAATAAATATTGATTACTCTCACTATATTTGTCACTATCATTAAAGCTTTCATTTTTTTCATCTTCGTCTTCGTTTTCTTCATCAACAAGAGTTGTAGTTCCAGTGTAAGGTGATTCAATTTCAATTATATTTTTAAGATTCTTAGAGTATCTGGGCAAACTTTTCTTATTCTTCAAAGAAAAAGAACAACAGTAGCGAAAAAGTTTGGTAAAAGATTTTCTCCAGCCTAGTTTTTTGGGATTGTTTGGCACGGGCACAAACAGGGTTTCCTGAGAAGAAGACATTGATGAGATGGGTGTGTAGTTAACAATAGTATTTAGGAATTGATTGTTTGTATGTAAAATAAAGACATTTTGAAAGGTTTATATATGGAAATATTTACTTGGTTACTTTTCCTTTTTTTTTTTTTTTTTAGCATAAAATCTTGCAAATTCTTGTATTTAAAAATACGCATTATGAGATATGCTTGGTGGTTGATGTTGAAGTTTTTAAGACCAAAATGTCGTGAAGAATTGAAAACCTCCATTCTGTAAAAGTCTGGGCTACAAATGCTTGCTAAAGGTGAACATCAAAGTTAGTCACGTGGAAATCTCTGAGACATAATAAGCCCTAACCCTTTGGGAATTTGAGGAATTAGCGAGGTGTGAACCCTGATGATGATGATTGCTGCAAAGACTAAAAAAAAATAAAAAAAAAATCTTTTTTATATTTTTTTTTTGTGAAATGCGGCGCTACTGAGCCGCTATTACTAGTTAGGGAATACATCGCTATGCCCTAAATAATTCAAAGTAGCGAAAAGCATTAAGTCTCAGAATATTTTAGGGAGGAAAAAAAAAAAAAAAAGCATTGAACGAAACTTTAAAGAAAAATGTCAGCATAAGACTTTTGTCTGGATTAGATTGAAATGATCCGGCAAACGGTTGGATAGTCGTTAGGAAGATTGAAAAAAAAAAAAAATAAAATAAAAGAAAAGAAAAGAAAAGAAAGACTATAATTACACTGGAAACTACTTTACAAATACATGAACTAAACGAAAAGAAAAGAAAAGAAAAAAAGAAACGGGTCATAAGCGAACGAAGAAGAAAAAGATGAAGAAGGAAATAAAGATGATTATTTTCACCCCCTTTTTTTTTTTTTTTTTTTTTTGTTCTTCTCTTTCTCAATACGCTTTTGGTATACCTTCGTCTAGAGGATACGGAACTCTATGGGAATGAAGGTTCCCCGGTATCGACAACGATTCATGTGTTACCAAACTTTGTGGGTGCTGTAATTGTTGTTGCTGTTGCTCGTGATGCGAATGGGAGGATGATTGGTTTGCATTGTGCTGGTGTTGAGGAGAATGATCTGGGGAAAACTCCTCTGGGATATGGTGAGCAGCTTCAGGATCACCAATATCCTCACCAATGTCGTTATAGAGCAGAAGGGCCTGTTTCTCCGAAAGCACAAGACAGACGATACCGATTGCAGTGCAGAACAAGAGGAAAATGGATGTCCAACCAAGACCCGCAGGAATGCGGCCGCTGTGAGCGACAATGGAATTGTTGGAAAGGTTTCTTGCAACGCTAACTGCGGTATCGACTGAAGCTTGCTGCCAGACCATGCCGATGAGCCCGAGGGTGCAGGCAAATACGGTAAGGCCAGTGGAGATAAAGTAAAGGCTTGGCCGCTTGAGACTAGCTCTGAGGAGGAAGACGAGCGCAATAAAGTTTATACAGACACTTACTATAAGAATGGCTGGGGAGACGTGATGGTTGCGGACATTATTCATGAGGTAGATGACGTTGAAGGGGTCCTGTGTGGGGACATCTATGATTGAGGCGAGTAGGGTGACGTTTCTTGTGCAGAACCAGTTGTGGTGGGCGGTGGAGGATGTTTGTAGGGTTGAACGGGTGCAGGTACCAAAATATCCTATGCGTACAGTCATATCTGTTTTATTTTCAACGTTGGAATTCCAAGTAGTGTATGCGTCAGTGTTGACGATGCCGTCCCCTGAGAGTTGTGGTTGTTCATAAGCAGCGTAGCGGAGTTGCATGAGGAAGTTATTTGCACTTCCCTTGGAGGAATTGGAGCAGCCCGAGACGCTGATGGAGGTGAGGATGATGCAAAGAGCGAGGAAGAAGACAAGAATGTATTTGTATTTGAGTTTACTTTGGATACGAGCTACATCTATTTCGATTGGATCCTGGCTAAATTTGAGAATGTTTCCGTTAAATGCAAAGCGTTTTTTTTTCTTGTGCAGCTTTTCTTCTTCATGCTGCTGCTCCAATCCTTTTTCAAGGTCCATAATGTAGGTATTAGTGGTGGTATTGAATTAATGATGATATGAGGATTTTTTGAAAAAAAAAAAAAATTACAGGAAAAGTCGATGAGGATAAAAAGATGAATCAAAGGATGTTTTGAAAAAAAAAAAAAAAAAAAAAAAAAGAGAAAAGAAAGGAAAGATTACAAGTTTTTGTGGGAATTGAGAAATATTTAAAATAGAAAGGAATTCTGAAACTTATGAAGCGCAGTTTTCAACTGGCTGGACTAGTCAGCTGGATGGCTATCTGGCTGGGCTGGGCTGGGCTGGTTTTCATTTTTTTTTTATGCTTTGGTTGATTAACAAATAATGGGCTTCTGTTTTAGGGAAAAAATAAAAAAAAAAAAATTAAAAGCCACGCATGTAACCCAAAAAGGAATTTTGTTCCTAAATTTATTATTATTATTATTATTATTATTATTATTATTATTATTATTATTATTATTATTATTATTATTATTATTATTATTATTATTATTATTATTATTATTATTATTATATTTATTGTAAACTTTGGATTTTGATGATTGTTATGAACATATATAAATATATAAATATAAATATAAATATATATTGGTCAAAAGAAAAAAAAAAAAATCAAATAAACATTTAAAACAAACCAAAAAAGGGTTTATCAATTTAATCTTTTTGTGCAGATGAGAAGTTAAAATTATTAAAATTATATTAGAATTATATTAAAATATATATAAAGAATGGCATATCATCATTCTGATCAGAATGTATCCTTTAATTTTTTTATTTTTTATTTTTTATTTTTTTGATTATTAAATCCACCATCATATGATATCCATAAGAAATTGAAAATTCAATATACTGATTTCTTTTTTTTTTTTTTTTTTTTTTTTTTTTTTTATTTTTAATTTTTTTTTTGTTAACAAATTTGTTAAAAATCTTCCATAAAGCTGGTTGAGCCCAGCCTTTTTTGTCTACGGCTGGCTTTAAAGTTACTACCACAACCAACAAAAAAAAAAAAAAAACCTCTCTTTTTTTTCCTCCCCCTCATCCTAATGAAAATCCTCTCAAAACCATCCCTAAAAAAATCGACGGTTCGGGATCACAAAGTTTAACAAGATTTCTTTAATAAATAAATAAAATAATTTTTAACACTCCGTTCCGTCCTTAAAGATTAAAAATATAAAATAAAAATCAAACCGAATAATGTAAATATAAAAAAAAATACGGCTTAAACAATTATTAAGAAAAAACAAAAAAAAAAACTTTTTGACTTTATTTTTTTTTTTTTATTTTATTTTATTTTATTTTTTTTTTTCTTCAACCTCCATTATAAACCCTAAAGTCTTTATCATCTACACCAGTTTATTTCCCAAAAAACTTTGAGTACGCCGCCTTTTCCCCCTCGCGACGCTTTTGCATGACCTGCCTCACCCGTGCAAGCTCATTCACAATGGCCACGTCTCCAGGCACAATCTTGAGTGCAGCTTCAAAGTCCACAACCGCTCCCTCCTCATTCTTGCTCCGCGCACTTGCTACACCACGTCTGTAAAGCGCCTTGGCCCGCTCTTGTGGCGTAATCCCAGAAACATCCAAAGCATTGTTGGCCGCCCGCTGGGCATCACCAAACTGTCCTACCTGTAGCGCAACAAGCGCAATATTCAAATGCAGCGCCGTCTTGAGCTTCAGAAACTGCCGGTACGCCCCAGGGTGTTTATCTGGGTCAGGAAGATACTCATTAATGTAACGCAGCGCCTTACGGTACTTGGCCAACGCAAGAAGCTTCTTGTCTTGAGTCGTGCCCTGTTTCAGCAACGTCGTGCCAATCTGCTTAATCTTCTCAGCCGCTGCAAGAGGAGGACCCGGATCATCATCCGGAGCCTTGACCGATTCTTCATCATCTGGGAAATCCTCATATGGATCTCCAGTCCCATCCGTCACAATGTAATCCTCCAGTCTGGCTGTTGCAGGAAGCTCTCCACAATCCGTAATCACCACATCCTGCACAGGCTTGTCGTTGGCGCCAGTGGCTGTATGCTCAATGGTACGCACCACAGACTTGCCTGCCAAAAGTCGGCCAAAAACCACATGTTTGCCGTCCAAATGGTGGGTGGCAAGGGTTGTGATGAAGAACTGCGAGCCATTGGTATTAGGCCCGGAGTTGGCCATTGAGAGCACAAACGGCTCGTGGGTTGGTGCTGTTGTGGCTGATGATGTTTGTAAGGGCTGTTCGTCGGGGAATCGCTCGCCATAAATGGATTCGCCGCCTGTTCCGTTGCCCACCGTAAAGTCACCGCCTTGGATCATAAAGTTTTTAATAACGCGGTGAAACTTGGAACCCTTATAGTGCAGCGGGTACCCGAGCTTACCTACACCCCGGTCGCCCGTGCACAAGGCCCGAAAGTTTTCAGCTGTTTTTGGGACGACTTAAAAAAAAAAAAAAAAAAAAAAAAAAGAGTCCAAAGTTAGATGATTTCATAAAGAATGGATGAGTTAAAAAAAAAAATAAAAAGATATGAGAAGGTTTCGCAAACACTTACTATCACTAAACTGGGATCAAGATGGATTGAAATATGGATTCCAAAGGTTAGAGAAGAATTGCGATTATAATAAATATATATATATATATATATATATATAAAGATTCATTGATTGATTTCAAAGTTATTGCCAAAAAAAAAAAAAAAAAAAAATTCGGTTTTTTTCTCATCAGTCATGTGAGATAACTTTGAAACCTTTTTTTTTTTTTTGAAAAGAAATTTTCATCACAAAATGATTTCATGCTGAATATTATTTTTCATCATTTCATTAAAATCCAAAAAATCAATAACTCACCAGTTGGAAAATGGCTCTACCAATGGGCTTGCCACCAATTGAAATGTCGAGATATACTCGTGGCCGTTCTGGCTCATTTATCAGGTCCTTAATGTCCATTGAAGAGATGGGTGTGATGCAAAATGATGGAATTTGTCTATATGATGGTGATGGTTGGCAAAAGGTTTTGAGTATGTAAGCTTTAAAAGGTTGGTGGCGATGGTGGGGATTTAAATAATAAAAAAATAAATAAAAAAAAAGTGGTGGTGGTGACAAAAAAAAAAAAAAAAGGGAGAAGGGAAAAAAAAAAAATTGATGAAAAATAAAAAAAAAAAAATTTTATTTGACAACTATTCTTGCTTTTCAATTCAAATAGATAGATATATATATATATTCATATATATATATTTAATACTATTAGTTTCTTCTTTTAAAAGAAAAAGTAAGTTTAACCATTTGAAAAAAAAAATTTTCAAGGAAATGGCATAATAATATTTGAAAAAAAAAATATTTCACATTTAAAACGAATAAAAGATGAGTGATTGCTGCTGCTACTGCTGCTGCTTTTCTTGCTGTTGCTGCCTCTCTCTCTCTCTCTCTCTCTTTTTTTTTTTTTTTTTTTAACCTTAGTCTAATGAATAATCTTCATTGGCATATGGGCTTGTACTATTGTGATATATATTTCTATTTCTATTTCTATTCCTATTTCCATTTCTATTCCGTTTAATATCAAAGGGAATGCTGTCTAATAGGGTTCTTTTTTTTCTTTTGTTTGAAACATTAAAATTCAGTAATCATCATGGTTTGATATATATCAAAATGGACCATTTATTTATATATATGAATAAATATATATATATTAATCAAAAAGGAAAGGTAGAAAAAAAAAAAAAAAAAAGGCGTTATGATCATACTGACAGCTTTTTTTTCAACGGTTTTTTTTTTTTTAAGCTCCTAACGATCCACTGCTATCCATTGGACGATAGCGACAAACAAATTGGCCAACTATTTACTGCCATATACAAGATGAAACTTTCTAATATACGTTTGTAGTGAAGTACCTGATATACCAACTGTACTATATGATTGTATGTGTGTTATCACATGGCCTAAAAAGGCAATATGAGCGCCTTTTAGTGAGCCTTAGTGAGCCTTTGCTTTAAATGTTGCAGAAGGAAAGGAAAGGAAAGGAAAGGAAAGCAGACATAAAATAAAAGGGAATATTCATAATATATACGTTTGTATGTTGACATTGAATTTGGAAATATATTTGATTCTTTCTTAAATAAAAAAAAAAAAAAGAAAAAAAAAAAAACATTAAAAAGTTGGGTCTTTTTTTTTCATCTAAGACCTCGTTTTTTTTTTTTTTTTTTTTGGTCTTTTGTGCTTTAAGTCCTTAAAAGACTCGAGTTTGTCTGTGTAAAACCTTCCTCGTCTTGCCATATGATTTAGTGTTGTATAGTTACAACCATCTAAAAGATATTAAAAAAAATTTAATTGTAACATATATGTAACATATATGTAACATATATGTAACACATTTTATGAAACTTATTTTGTTCTTCCATATTCTATTGCCTTTTTCATTTACAAAAAAAAATCCTTTTTTGAGCTCATCTTAATATCTCATTTACCTCCCCTATTTCTCTAATCTCTAATCTCTAATATCTAATCCCCCCTTTTAAAGCTTCTTTCAAATCCTTATATAACAAATGAACCCGGCCACAATCCAAGAAGAATACGCCGCACTTCATCGTGAATACGCGCTCATGGTTTCTTCCATCCAACTTCCAGACTCTCCTACTGATCCTGTACGGATTACTACCTTGGAGCAGACCGTTTTAGACACACGCCTGGAACGCAATGGATGGATTGTCCTGGCATTGACTACAAGTAACAATAATTCTCAGGATTCTCAATCAAAGCCTTCTTTGAATGTTAAAAATGGAGCTGTGTTTGAAACCCCGGAAGCTTTACTTATGAATGTATCACCTGTATTTGCACAGCGGTGGAATGCTGCTCTTACGGCCCGTCTTGAAGAGGCATTTTCTTCTGCCTCTGCTTCTGCTTCTGCTTCTTTTTCTTCATCATCTTAAAGTCCAGTAGTAAAGGACATTTTTAATAAAAATCCCGGCTCACTTTAAACAAACCAGTCAGCTAGCTAGCTAGCTAGCTAGCTAGCTAAACTCTTAACTACCAAAATACAATAGCCAGTGATGGTCACGAGCGGGATTTTCCGCTAAAAACAACAAGAAACAAAAAATACTTCATTGGTTGAAATGATGTTTTAAACAAACATTATTCATTCTTTCTTTAGTAAGCCTCAATGTATTTTTGCTTTGGTGCTCCAATTTCCATCCCTAAAAGACTACTTTGGGACATTTGGGAAGTGTAACCAACAAATTATTAGTCCCCCTCGACAAAAGTAATAATAAAATGTTACAGGTAAAGTTATTTTAAATTTTAATTTTTTTTTTTCTCATTATATTTTCAGTTGATAAAAATTACAATTCTCTATAAAGTTTTTTTTTTTAATTTTTTTCTTTTAATGATAAAACCTTCAAATCAAAATAAGCATCGTCAAAGTCGTATATTCATAAACCATTCATAAATTTTTTTTTTCTTTTAATCCTTTAGTGTCCTTGCACACGACCACCATTTACTGCTCAGAAGTCTTAGCAGGGATTCTGGTGGGCAGACCAGCAGCCTTCTCACGGGCCTCCTCCTTGGCTGCAATGGCCTCCCAAGAGTACTCAAGATCAAGAGGGTTCTTCTTTTCTCTGGGTCCATTAACAGACAAAAGCATAGAGGCGAGAAGAAGAACAATGGTAATACTTTGAGCGTACATACGAGCCTGGACAATCTTCTGAGCTTTGGTCATGTACTTGTCTCTGTTGACCCACCAGAAAGAGCCACCCATTGATGCAGCCCATGCACCAGCAATAAGCTTGTACTTGTTTTCTGAGGCGTAGTAGACAATCTTTTGTCCTGAAGTCATATTTTCAATCTTCTTTTGTTCTTCCAGAGCAGCCTCCGAACCCTCACCAAAACCGTATTGGTGCATGTCGAAATCCAGCGAGACCCATTCGAGGTTGGTCATACCGAAACCAACAGGAATCGACAGAGCAAAGAAAGTCTTTGTGGTGGCAGTCATGGTGGTGAAGAATTGCTTGCGCTTGACCACCTGGTAAAGACCCAGAGCGACGACAGCACCGACTGCGCAGCCCTTAGCAAAGCCTGTGTAGATGGCGTTGGTGTACTCCTTAACTTCTTGGTTGCTAGCGATTTTCATTGTGAATTATTGAGTAGATGTTGTTGTTGTATGATTAATGTATTTGTGTTTGTGATTGTGTGTGTTGTGATGATGGATAAGAAGAAAGGGAAAAAAAAAAAAAAAAAGAGAACAAACGGGGGACACAGAATCGTTTTTATATGGAGGTTTGTAAAAACACAGACTACTATTAGGTGTATGCATGGAATAGACTAGAGAGAGAGACTTTTAGCGGTTGCCGCACATACCCAAATTAAAATGGCACTCACTCATAGACACACACACACACATACACGCCAAGGGCTCTGAGAAGTTCCGGAGGGCAAATCCCATCCACCATCACTGCGGCTTCTTTATTAGGGAAAATATGTCAATCCACGCCGCACGAAAATAATAAGGAGTGTCCGGGTTAGACAGGACAACCCGTCAGTCCCCTTTGATTTTCTCTCCAGATTTTTTTTATTTTTATTTTTTTTTTCATTTATGACATAATAATAAAAATTAAAAAGTGACATATGACTTGGATTAGAAGTGTTTTTTTTTTTTTTTAAATTATGAAAAAGAATTTACCAGACAAATGTGCAAATCTTGAATATCATATATTATGAGGGATTTTTAAGCCAAGCCGCACTAGAAGGCACATCAATGCGCTGATTATTTAGCTTTCGTAAAAGTGTTGTAATTAAAGTTGTAATAAAAAATTATATTATTCTATCTATTTAATATATAACTATATATCTACAAAAAAAAAAAAATGACTCAGCCGCTCATTAATTAACAAAGAATGATGTGCTTAATGGAATTTCTTTAATTTAGAAGTAGGAAAACAAAGGTTTACAATTTAATTCCATCTAAATCTTGGAATTTCTTGCAAATCAGAGACCGGGGAATGGTTAAAAGGAAATTGTACCAACTGACATTTTTTGTTTAATGATGACGACTAAAAAAAAAAAAAAAAGAGAGTTTCTGTTGTTTCTCCGCGGAAGGGGTCTTTGGAATTCGACGGTCTTGAAAGAAGAAGAAGAAAAAAAAAAAAAAATTCATTGCCAGAAGGGGAAAATTCCACAAGTCAATTCTGGCATGATCTGAGATTTCACATTAAAGAACCAATTTTTATTTTGATTGTAAGCAAAAAACCACGCCACTGCCAACTTTAATTAAAAACAAATTTCCCAAAATGGCAAGTTTAACTAGGTTAAGCCGCATAAAACTATATTGTCCGACTAACCCGCGTTTGAAAAAAAAAAAAAAAAAAAAAAAACACCTAACACACACCAAAAACACATGCGCCACACATGGCGGCGGAACAATAAAAAAAAAAAGACTTCAAACCCCGACAGAGCCCATGAATAGCTACAAGCAGTTCCCGGTTCCGTTTATTAAAAGAAAGAAAATAAACAGAAGGAGTTTGATAATAAGGAACTGGGGATTGAAAGTAAACTTTTAAAAAGGGCATTGAACGGGGATTGGTAAAGGGGAAAGGAAACATTGAGAGTATTTTTTTTGTTAAAAAGAAAAAAAAAAAAAACAGCCACAAAAAAAAAAATGAAATAAAGAAAAATTCAACGTTAATCGAAACAATATTATACTAAAAAAAAAACAATGGAGAAATAAAAAAGAGAGAGAGAGGGAGGGAAAGAAAGAAGGGGGAGAAAAAAAAAGCAAGAGCTGATTTAAAACAAATACATAAAAGGCAACAATTCAAGTATATATTACCTAAGATACTACAATAAGATCAACACAAAATTATCCCAAACCCCCTCCAAAAAAAATAGGCCCTGTATTCAATTTGGGGGAGAAGAGAAAAAAAAAAAAACAAAAAGCCAAATATTTTCCAAAAGAGGTAAGAATTTATTATTTTTTTAATGGAATAATGTGATTGTTACAAATTATATTCATATTCATATTCATATTCATTTTTTTTTCTCTCAGAATAGAAATAAAACTAACTCATTTTCTCAGTTTTTTTTTTCTTCTAAAGGTTATTCTTTTCCTATTTTGGAAATAATGAAAAAAGAAGCCCATATTTTTATCATTTCCCTCAAAAAAAAGAAAAACTTATTATTTCTTATGAAATAGAAAAAACAACAAAAAAATAATAAAACAGATTTAAGAAAATAATTCTATTGTTTTTTTTAAATTTTTAATTTAATTTAATTTAATTTGTTTTAATTTGTTTTAATTTATTTTAATTTATTTTAATTTTTTTTTTTTTTTTTTTTTTTTTGAATGCGACAGAAAACGACAAAACTCTACTATTATGACTTTCTCAGTGTCCCTTATTTCAATTAATCGATAGCCAGTCGAATTTAATTGATACATGTCATTTATATGTTAAATAGTAACCGTATATATATATAAATAATTCTTTTCTTTTCAAAAAAAAAAACAACAACAGAAACCACCACTCAACCATTTTAAGTGTTTTTTATTTTTTATTTTTTATTTTTTATTTTTTGTATTTTGTACTATTGTCATTGTAATTTTCATTTCCATTTTTAATTTGTCATTATCCGTTGCAACTTTTTTTTTCGGTTGCTTCAGCGTATTCTCAAGTCCTCGCTTATTGTGATATTCTTTTAATGAGTGTTTTCCTACCAAAAAAAAAAAAAAAAAAAAACACCACTCTTTCCATACTCTTCAATCTTACCTTTTTCTTTCGTCCATTTAAAAACTTATCGGTTAGGGTTTACTGGAAAACTGCTGCTCTTTTTGTTATTTGAAACATTTGTCAAAAAAATCTTTATCTATTAAGATCGTTTTCAATTTTTTTTTTTTGTATCGTTCACATAATGTTATCAATTCCTATTAAAAAAAAAAAACTACATTAGCCTCCTTTTTCCAAAACTAACGGGGAATCTTTTTCTTTGGAAGACTTTGGAACCTCAAGTTCCAAGCCTTTTAAAACCTCATTACCTTCATGAGCTAGAGCAACGTTGCCAGTCTCGTCAACTTCTTCAGCACTCTCGGCTGTGGTGTCGCGCTTAATCGTGGTATCTTCATTTACTAATGCTGCTGCTTCTCCACTTGTTGCAGCAGCAGATGCTCGGGCTGCATCCTTCTCGTCATCTTCAGCACACCCGCACGCGTACTTGTCGGAAATTGTGCTACAGTCAAAAATCTCTTTACCCAAGCGCTCATTCACTTGGTTATGCACAAAACAACCCCACTGCGAGGCCGCCTCACGCGATGAGGTTTGTGGTGGGTATTGTCTCAATAATGCTTGAAAATGCTCAGCGCACTGACCACTAAATAAAATTTAAAAATTAGCAAAAGGGGACACACTACTTACACACAGGCTCATGCACAGGCACAGACAAAAAAAAAATCAATACACATACCATGGGTATACACGTGAAAACAAATAAATGTACGATGACAGAGTTTCACGATCATTGGTTGTGGGCTTGACAGGGTACTTTGCAAGAATCGTATGGAACAACTTCCATCCTGCGCGACCAACTTCTGCGCGGATCGTTTCGTTAGTCATGTGACCCATAATGGGAGCTCCTGTTGTAAGGTCCTGCGAGGGGCCTCCCGACTTGCCGAGTGCGTCAATAGGGTCGTAGTCATCGACTGATGTAAGTTGAGCTGGGGTCCGTGCAACACCAGCCTTTATTTGTTCTCCGGTCGAGATCTTGGATCCCAGTGAATGGGCCACGGCGTCATGGGAAGATGAGGATGAACTGGGGAACACGACATAGAAAAAAATAAGACAAGCTAGACCGGCACCAACAATGGTGAACAAAGATGGACGACGAGGCATTTTGGTGGAACTGTTTCGAGAAAAAATAATGGTTGTTTTCGGAGGAAGAATGGTTATGGACGATGTCGAGACTGAGGCAGACTCTGCTTTGGCTCCAACTGTGGGAGGGTTCGATGGGGGGTCCAGAGGAAGAGGAGATGAAGAATAGCTCAGCGACTTTTCTGAGAATACGCTGGGACAAAGGTTGGGGGTATTAGATGACAATAATGGGGAATATCCCGAGAAGATGGCTAGTCCTCGTGGGTGGTTGTTGTTGTTGTTGTTTTTGTTGTGATGGTGGTTGAAATTGTGGTGTGTTGTTTGATGATCAAACAACTCTGAGCGTAGGTAGGGGCTAGTTTTGGTACTGCTGGCGGCGCTGATGGTCCGACTGTTTTTGGGCTGTTGTGGGTTGTTGTTGTGGGCAGCGGCTGATGCGGCGGGAACAGAAGATTGTAACAGAATTTGTAACTGCTTGGGGTCTTGTTGTAACAAGGATGGGTTTTTCTTAGGTGGTGAGTGAGGGTGAGGGGTCATTGAAGAACGGTTGGAGGAAATGACTAGAGGAAATTTATAAATTATCAAAGAATTGGGTGGTTACAATGAAAATGAAAAATGAAAAAATGAAAATGAAAATGAAAATGAAAATGAAAATGAAAATGGAAATGAAAATGAAAATGTCGAATATATATATATATATTTTTTAAAAAATTATAAAGGAAATACCATTGATCTTTTATACCTCTCAATTATCAAAGATTCCATCATTTATCAGCATCAGTAATAAACATCACTGCCAAGATTATGTTTGTAGCAGAATGAAGAGGGCAAATTCTTCAATGTCGAGCCATGGCATTTCCATTGAAACATTGATAAATGCATACAAGTTCTCTCATTACAAATGACCAATGAGATCACTAGTATGGGATTTGCAACGGCCCTACAGAAAAAAAAATCCTTTTGCTTTCGAAAGCAATGAGATCTCAATGCGTTTTGTAGTTTATGTGGATTAAGATTTCAAACATTGTTGAAAGAGAGTTAAAACGCAATGATTCTATATAGTTTTTTTTTTTTTTTTTTTTGTAATAATATGTAAAAAAAAAAAAAACTTTTTAATTTATATGGTTTGAAGTTTCAATCGTGCTGCAAAAAGGAGAACTTGGTATATAAAACTTTGGATCTTCAATGGCCAAGATAAAAAATGATCTTAAAAGAAAATGAATGAAAAGCAAGTGATCTCAGAAGAAACTTTTTCAAGAGGTTAAAAGTCATTTTTTGAAAGACAGCCAAGGAATAATCCCGATTCAAGATTTTCAAAAATAAAAAATATCACGTATATACGTTGTTTGATTGCTGATACAACTTAAGCTTTTTTCTTTTATTTTTTTATTTTGAAAAAAAATGGATAAAAAAATTATATTCAATCTATATCTATATATTAGGCAAATATCATGAGCCTTGATTAAAAAGATATCTTGTGGATTGTATATAAAATACTTTTGAAACTACCTTTGAAGGTTGTGATGTTTATCAATTGTATTTCAATTGTATCTCAGATATTATTTGAACCATATTTTGGAGGGTTTTTTTCTTTTTTTCTTTTATCATGTTCTTTTTATTTCCACTTCTCTTCTCTTCACTTCACTTCATTTCTTTATTTTTTTTTTTTAATAAATCTATTTACTTGAACTGCTCAAAGATTTTTCTAATAACATTTAAAAATCCACTTTTTTAAAACAAATAGAAAAATAAACAAATTGAAAAATTTCCATAAAAAAAATTCCACGCCTTAAATCATCAGTGTAGAATGTCCCGATAATTCCATGGAATTTGGTAACCCGAATAAACCATGGCCCGAAATATTACAAAAATACCCGAAACGGGTACAGACAATAAGGTTCAACTTTACATGTGTAGAACGTGATTCTTTAAAAAAAATCAATTAATTATCTCACAACTAAAGAAAAAAATCTATTTCAACCATTTGAAATTGGAATTGATTAGTTTTGACATACCAAAATTGACACTATGAGCCTTCTCTATAATGCTTTTAAGGATAGTCCCTTTGTGCGATGGTGAGCGTCCCGGTAATATCGGATTAGGCTGTGATAACTAAACTTTATACTTGGAATCAATATCGTACTAGAAAGAGCCAGAATGCCTACTCTCTCAAAGTCTCTTCACAAAATATAGTGCACCTTATTTTTCAATAGTGGTCTTTGAGTGTGGACAAAAAAAAAAAAAAGAAAAAAAGTGGAGAGAACTATTTCAACTTTTCTCGCACGCGCACTTTTTTTTTTTTTTTTTTAAGAGTTTCAACAATACTGGAAATAAATCACGCAGAAAGCCTTTTTTGAGCGAATTGGACCTTGAAAGCCCTTTTGACTATGAAAAAAACACACACGGAACATCTCATTTTAAAGATAACAAAAACTATTTGGAGTCAATCAAAACCGAAACCCCTCATCGTGGGCTTATTATTAAACCATCGTTGTTGCTTGTTGTAAAAAGTCGCACAAACACCGCGCATTTAAAAACCAGCTGGTAACCCCACCATTTATATTTCTTTTTTTTTTTGTTCTTCTTCTAAAACAAAAATAAAAAAAAAACTTTTTTATTCCTAACAACTCTCTTCATACAATCATCCAATAACAATGACTGACGCTCCCAAAAAAGTCGATTACACACTCTACCTCGTCACAGACAGCACTATGCTGCCTCCTGGCACTGATTTCTTTGAACAGGTTGAAAAAACCCTTGCCAATGGAGCTGTGACCATTGTACAGTTGCGTGAAAAGAATATTGACACAAAAGACTTTGTTGCCAAGGCCAAAAAGCTCCATGAAATTACCAAAAAGTACAATGTTCCTCTCATTATTAACGATCGTGTCGATGTAGCTTTGGCTTGCGATGCCGAAGGTGTTCATGTTGGCCAGGAAGACTTGGGTAAGTCATGAATGTCAATTCCTTTTTACACCCTTCCATACTAACAATCCTAGACGTCCCTGCCTTGCGCAAACTTATTGGCAAAAACAAGATTATTGGCGTTTCCACACATGACCCGACTGAAATCAAGCGCGCTATTGCGGAAGGAGCCGACTATGTGGGAATTGGTGCTGTCTATGGCACTAAGACCAAGGATCTTACTAGAGAACCCATTGGTACTGTTGGTCTCAAAGAAATCTTGCTGGCGGCTGACAATAAGATCCCAGCTGTGGCCATTGGTGGAATAAATCCCTCCAACGTTCAACGGGTCCTTTATTTTTCAGCCACCCCAGAAAAAAACATCAAGGTTTCTGGTGTTGCCGTTGTTTCTGCCATTATGGCAAACAGTGACTCGGCCGAGGCGTCACGCGTGCTGCGCGCGCTCATTGAAGAAAACCCATCCTGGGACTTGACGGCCAAGATTCCTTGGGACGAAAAGTTCAGCCAAGAAAACATTCTCACCGATATCTCCGACCTGCTTTCCAGAGTCAATGCTGTCAAACCTCTCGTCCACCATATTACAAACGATGTTGTCAAGAATTTCAGTGCAAACGTCACAATTGCCACTGGCGGCAGCCCTGTCATGTCGGAATGCGTAGATGAATTTAGCGACTTTGCTGAATACCCTAATGCAGGCTGTCTTATCAACATGGGCACCCCGACTCTTGAGGGTGTGACTCTTTACAGACAAGCTGGTGGTGAGTACAATAAGCGCGGCAAGACTGTTGTTTTTGATCCCGTTGGTGCTGGCGCTACCCGTCTGCGCACCAAGGCCTGCCTCGAACTCCTACAACATGTTGCCTTTGACGTGGTCAAGGGCAATGATGGCGAAATCTACGCGGCTGCTGGCCTTAAAAGTCCCACCAAGCAACGTGGTGTTGACTCAGATACAGATGCTGACAATGAAGCCCGCTTCCAGGCCGCCTACAAACTTGCTCAGGACTACCGCACCATTGTGCTTATGACCGGCCCTGAGGACCTGCTGGTGGACGAGCATGGAAATGCTCTTATTTTTGCCAATGGCTCTGAGTATCTCTCTCTCATCACCGGCTCCGGATGCTCTCTCGGCTCTCTCATTACCACCGTGCTTGCTACTGACAAGTCACTTCTTGACCAAATTGAGGACCGCATGCCTTACGGCAACTTTTTGGCTACCGCTGCTGCTATTGCTCTTTATACAGTTGCATCTGAACAGGCAGCAAACTTCCCTACCTGCACTGGTCCGGGAACCTTTGTGCCTTTGTTTTTGGACCAACTCCATGCTATTTCAAAGGAAAACAGATTGGGCAACACCAAGTGGCTCAGCCGAATCAATATTCGTCCCTTCAAACATGATTAAAAAAACAGTGTAATGATTAATCAACTAATACTAATACTTTATATACAAAACTCATAATAAACAAAAAAAAAATATTAAAACAAATTACCATCCTTCAGTAGACAAGGATGACTTGTCGGAAGGAAGAATCACTTGGGCATCAGTTCTGGTCTGCACGGCAACATCGCGAATATCCTTGACATCTTGTTCAGACAAGGGTGTGTATCTAAGTGAAGGATCAATAAAGTGGAAACGACCTCTGCTAAAATCAAAGTCGGAGATGTTTTGGAGCACGTAGAGCTGGGTGCGGATGTAATGGACGAGCTGCTCAAGGAAACTCTCATCAATCTCAGGGCGACCAGAAAACAGGTTACGCCAAAGAGCAGATGCCAGAGTTGCGTCGTCCAGGAAAAAACCCTCATCATAGGACATAACACTGCCACGCAACTGCAGATTGAAGTCCTTCTTGTAGCGCTCGATAATTGAGCCTGATCTAATGCGCAGCTCTGTGCTCAGACGCTTCTCCATGTCGGAGAAGATTGTATCAACAAGCTTCTGCTGGTACTCCTTGCCAATGGTTCGGGGCATGGCGCGCATTCGCACAAACAACATCCAAACGTGCAGAGCTGTGATCTGAAACTGTTGGGCAAACGTCTGCGGCAGTTGTAGGTCGCCATAGTAAAACTTTGCAGTTTTGGACAATGGCACCCCACTTTTGGCCGTAGGCTTCTTGCCGCTCTTGGTATCTATGGGGAAGTAACCCTGCTCCTTACACAGCTCATAGTAAAGAGTTCCTGCAATAGGACCCGACCGAATACGATCCATGTCCAGATGGAAAGTCGAAATCACTCGCTGACCCAGCAGCTTCTTCCATGCAGGCAGACGTGTTGCCTGCTCCTGGAATTCCAGCACGTTCTCAGGTGTTTCCTTATTGGCTTGATACGAATGCACAATCTGGTCCTTCAGGCTGCCCGGTCGTGCAACGTACGAGGGGCCCGGGCGAAATGAGGGCTCGGTGGCTTTGCCAAAAAGGCCACGCTTCAGAGCCAGCGGGCGGGCCGACAGGCGAGTCTGGAAAAGGGCACGCTGCATCTTTTAAATGGTGGATAGGTGAGTGTTGTGGTGGTGGCTGTGGTGATGGAGAATTAGAAATCTCTCTGTGTGTGCCTGTATATAAAATTGGTTGGGCCAGTTAGTTGACTGGTGAAAATTTCTGCAAATTGGAAAAGCAGAGTTATTCATCAGGATATAAAATACTTAGAACTAAGTATATCACTGTCCTGTAACAGCTGTATGACAGAATATCAGCCACGCGTCAAACAGAAGACACCTCAAAAGGCTTATGCGCGTCTTTGAGAACATCGCGAGTTCTACACAACCTCTTTTTTTTTTTTTTTTTTTTTTTTTTTTTCAAACATTCTTCTATCCAATATTGAACAATACCCCCCTCCTCATAATGACCGCCCCCTATCAGAATATTTTAGGGAAAACGGACCCTATGATGGTGGCTCGTCAGAATCTAATTCGTATGGCAAATATTCCAAGTACCGGCTATACCACACAGTATTCTTCTCCAGACACTCTACTTGCCATCTTCAAATGCATTTACTCAGACACTCTACCGTCCCACTACCCGGACCTTAACGTGCAGCTCTCATCTTATGCCAAAATGCGACTCGGGTTTTATGCCGATGAGACAAATGCTGTGCCCACTGTTCCTCTTGGTGAAGATGACACGTCGTATCTCTATGGACGAAACACCAATAAAGAGGCAAATTTACTGGAACGTCAGAAAAAGTGGCTCGTGACTTTGGCTTGGAGTGCGCGCGAAGCCTCTGTGGTACCCCTGCAACGTGGAACCGAATTTTTTGTCGAAGACGCAGTGTACACTGCAGACTATATGGTTGCACTATCTCACGAATGGATGACTTATTCCTCTCAACCTAACAATGAGCGTCCCATCAATGTGACTGAAGTCACTGTTACCAATACGTGGTTTAAAAGATCGGATGATGATACCATTTGCCGCATAACTGGACATAAGAGCCATGCATTCATTTTATCCAACTCCAAGTGGCGTCTTGGAGGAGTCGGGTATCCTGGCACAGAATCTCTTAAGGCCACCTATGGCCAACCTCCCATCAACCCTAATCAACTCCCACTTGTCACATTTCCACAAACTCCTCCTAAGTTTATATATGAGTATAGTGTGCGTCCAGTGGCTCCAGAAAATCAACTATATGTCACAAGCATTTGGGATGTGACGAACCAGACGTGGAAATTACTTGGTATATTTTTAGCCCCTGAAGACATTTTTTACCACCTAGACCAGCCTTGGAAGTCGACCCCTTACTTGGCTGACGATCTTTACCTCGAGTCCAAAATTGAGCAAGATAGCCAGAGATTTACTCCAAACCATACAGTCAAAAGCCCCATGATTTCACCATCAGTATTTGACGGACCAGGACTTGGAATTACAGCTCAAGAGCAACCCTTTGCTACAACTAAAATGGGATTGTCTCCGCAGCTGATTCCGCAGCAAATTGTAGCTGATAAAAACGACTTTTCAACTTTACCTAAAATTAATATTATTGAGCCGACGCCAACTTCAAGTATAATTTTCAAACAACCTGCTAATGAACATATATCTTCAAGGAAGAGTTTATTCGAAACCACTGTTTTGGAAGAAGAAGAAGATGATGATGATACGGAATCTGACGGAGAAAGACCTCACATGGCAAGTGATAACGATATCAGGGCATTGCATGAAAAACTTGAAAAGGTGGCTTTCGATGATGCAACAGGGACCGAAGATGAAGATGACTATGATGACGAGGAAGATATGTCATACTATGATCGGTATGATAAGTCTTCAGATGAAGAGGGAAGTGCTCCTAAGTCAACCAAGGGGCCTTTGCATCCTAAAGTGACGATGGAAACACTAGATGAAGATGACGATGATGAATATTTTAAGGCATACGACAATGTAGAGACTGCATTGAATGGTGACTTTAGTCAGGAGCGATTGGAAATGCTTAAAGACGGGTTTCGCACAATGCATGGGGTTCCTCCTAAAGCGGACCAACAGCCAAAGGAAGTGTCAGTACCGGCTTTTCATTCAGATACTCGAGTAATTTCATCACAGAATCAACCGCCGCTTGCTGTTGAGAAGCCTGCAGCTGTCAAAGCTCGAACGCCAACACCACCATTACCAAGACAAATTCCCTCTATGAGTGATACCGACAATGAAACAGATATATCAGCTGAGTTCCCTGGGAGTTTCCCTCGTGTGTCGAAAAGTGTGGCAACTCCACCTCATAAGACGTTGGCAAGTAAACAGCGCGAACCACCAGGGGCTCCACATCAACCTGAGCATGTGTCGCGGCTGCGGTCTGGGTTTGGTGAAAGCAATGAGTCAGACCATGAAATTAGGCGCTGGCTTTCTGGCAAGGGAAAGTCTGTAACCCGGAGCCGGACGTTTCCTCAACAAATTTCATCGACAAATGTGGGGTCTGAACCTGTAAGCTCAGTGTCTCCACCACCACCACAACTAATACAGCCATCTACCGAGGCTTCGAAACAAATAATGGAGAGTCATATTAAAACAACTATTGGCAGTTTGTATCAAGTGGCCAGAGCACATGGAATAAACATTACAAGTTTCTTAAGCATGGCATTAGACGCAGCTTCGCAAGCAGACAAGGAGTCCACGGAAGTGAGATCAAAAAAATGATGAAATTTAACAGAAAAAAAATAAATTAGAGTTGATATTATAGACTATAGAATGAACAATGGTATATATTCCTGAATACCCATTTTAAAGCTCATCTTCATCATCGTCAGAGCTATCTTCCTCCTCAGCCTCGGCAAGCCAATCGAGGAAAGGCTTAGCAGCCTTGCGGATCTTACGGAAGGTTTCCTTGTCAACGTACTTTTTGGAAACATGTTCGCCCCAGTCCAGAAAGGCATCTTCCGAAATGATATCATTGTCGTAGAGAGCTTCGAAAATGGCGGTGATATTTTTAACAAGCTCAGGGTGGTCGATACCAACAAAACGCTCAATGCCACCAAGGAAGTAGCGCTCACCCTTAGAAGTGGAGCCAACAAGCTTGCAAAGAAGACCGGCGTGGGCGCCAATATCCTCGACAATTTTTTCAGCAGAAAAGAGGGTTTGAGCAATAACCTGACAGGCTCGGTAATCTTCAGCAATTTCGAGTTCAACCAGCTTCTTGTAAATTTCAACATCAGAAAGATTGGTGCCATTAGTGATCCAATCACCCAACTGATCGTAGGGGTTAGATTCCTTCTCGTCAAGAGTCATAGAAGCCATAGAGCCACTAATGTCACGTTGACGGGCACGAATGGCTTCCTCAGACATATCAACAGCCCATTCTTCTCCAGCAGCGTTGGAACCATTGCCATTAGAAGAAAGAGGGCGATCACCAATCTGAGAGGCCTCAGCATTAATCTTGCGGGCGAGCTCATCGTCATCGTAGTCTTCATCATCGGGTTGAGGGCTTCCGTCCTCATCTGAGTTTGCGTGAGAGCCGTTGACTTCGCCAGAAACAAGCTCGTCAGTGGAAGCACCACCAACATTTGCAGAAGCAGTGGCTGCCTTCTTTCCTTTGCCCTGCTTAGCAGTAGAAGGAGGATTTTTAATAATATAAGTAGTGAGTTTGTGGCGCATGTCAATGGGGCTGCGGTGGCCGCAAGCTTTGCAGTCGCGGGTCAAAGTGCCATCTTTGAGCTTGATGAGATCAGTTTCAGGATTTTGGCAAGCAGCGCAAAGAACAAACTTGGAGATGAAGCCATCAAGAAGATCCTGAAGCTTGGAAGCCTCATGGGCACCGTTAACAATGTAGCGGTCATCAGCCTCGTTGATCTTGGCGGCGGATCCCAGTTCGACACCAAAGTACTTTGTAATGTATGCAGGGGGACGAGAAAGAGCACGGGCCACATCAGAAGTGTTGACGATGGCGGTGCGGATACCGTTACCACGACCCTCAATCTTTGATACGATGAGGGGCATCTTGTAGCGGTAGAACGGATCCTTGTTGTCTCTGCAGATGTTGACTAAAGTCATTTTGAAGTTGATGAAGAGATATTAAAAAAAAAAAGAGGATTGTGTTTTAGGAATAATATTAAGAAGAGTTGTGATTCATTCAAGAGGCGGTATAGTGGGAGTACAATGAGTGAAGAGTCTTATACTGAACGAAAAATGCATAAGAGAGGATGTATTTGTGCACAGGCCTTAAAGTTATTTATTTAGGAACAAAAAAAGAGGATTATTGCTTGAACGAACAATAAAACAGTCCAGAAACTGGGTGCGTTTTAGAACGGGATAGTTGAAGAAGAAGGGAAGGGTTTGAGTATTTGAACGAAAAAAAAAGAAGAAGAGAAAAACTTTTAGGGGTGGCGGGATTTGCTAAAAATGGACTTTTTGGAGGTTTTGTTTGTGGTGGTGAAAAATCGACAGGCTTAAAATTTTTTTTTATTTTCTGCTTACAAAACAAAATGGTGGGAGTCATCGATTTTACCAGCCAACAGTCTCCACTACCACCACCATTACCACCACCAAAAGAAAAGAAAAGAAAAAAAAAACGTGTGGTGGTGGTGGTGCTAAAAAACTTTAAATTAAAAAGGAAATTACATAACCAAATCACGTGAAAGACTCAAAAATTTGTCAACGTGCTCAAATATACGTGTTCCGTGTTCTGTGTTCCGAATATACTTCGGGCCACATTTGACGGGACACCCAAAATAGTAGCCAACATGCATCACAGAACATTAGAATCTTTATTAAAGTGGTAAAGAAGTTTGCCTAAAAACAGGTTTCTTGTCATTTTTTTAAAACTTTTTTTGCGCCCTAAAAGAAACCTTTTATATGTTTCCATTTTGGTTTCTTAATTTTAGGCATTTTCATCATCCAACAAGCATCAGCAATTTTTTTTTCCCCTTCTGCCATCTTAATAAACTTGCCATTTTATAAATTTCTATGCTTAAATATATTAATCCAATATTAACATTTTATCATTTTATATATTTCAATTTTTTATTTGATTTATATTTTATATTATTACCCTCTTTTTTTTTTTTTTTCATCCTTAACTATTTCTTTAATATCTAACCCGTCTCATTCAAATATTTATCATTCTCAGTGTTAAAATTATTGTTATTGATTTTTTTTAATTCTACTTTCCGAATCATCAAAATCTCACAATTGAAATGGCCATGTCTGTAGAAGACCCTCCCCCTTCAACATCGACTCGGGCTTTACGCAGAACCTCGCGTGTCAACTATACAGAGGAGCGTGTTAACTCTGCCTTTACTTCATCCCAACCACCCCAATCCACAAGTAAACCAAATGGGGTCTCAGTATCTTTCCATTACAAACCAAAATCTGTCTCTTCTTCTCCACCTGTCCAACCAATCAACAATAATTCCTCATCTGAATCTACTGCTGCTCCAATTTCAACTGCTCCAAAACTTGAATTAGAATCTCTAATTCCTTCGAGCTGGAAAACCATGCCTGAAGATGCATTTTCTGCAATGCCCAATTTAATTTCAGCTTATGTGGACCCCAATGATTCTTCTCTCCATCTCCAAGATGGTACAATCTACAGTCCAGAAGGTAAATTTTTTCATTTAAAAATTTTTTTTTAATTTTTTTTCATCTTTGTCACTTTCTATTATTTAATAACCTTTTTCTAACCCTTGATAGATCACATTTTCCTCGTTTCTGAACCTCCAGGAGAACCATACTATATTGCAAGAATCATGGAGTTTGTCTTCCGGCCAGACGACAACACGTCTTCTAAACAAGAATCAGAATCTTCCGAATTATCGAAGCGTAAACGTAGGTCCACCGCAAAAGCTCGTGAGGCCACCATTCCACCCACAACTCGTAAAACGCGCGGGAAAAAACCTCCCCTTGTCTCATCATCATTTCCTCCCAAATGGGCTGCAGAAAATTATATGGTCCGTGTCAACTGGTTCTATCGCCCAAAAGATATCTCTAAAAAATCAAATGACTCTCGAATGCTTTTTGCAACAATGAACTCGGATACCTGTCCTCTTGCAAGTCTTCGAGGCAAATGCACTGTCACGCACAGAGACCATCTCACTGACTATGAAGCTTATCGCTGTCTCCCTGATACTTTTTGGTTTGACAAACTTTTTGACCGATACATTATTCGTTTTTTTGATGTTGTTCCCACTGAAAAAATAATTAACATTCCCGAAAATGCTCAAAAAGTTTTGTGTGAACGTTTCAAGTACGCCATTGTTGAAGTGGGCCGCGCAAAAGAGCTTTGCTCTGCTCCTAAAAATTGCGAAAAATGCACCCAATGGTGTTCTCCAGATGACTCGGTCCAATGTGCGCATTGCAAACAGTTTTACCATATGCTTTGTGTTGACCCACCCCTTGAAAAAAAACCGAGTAGAGGCTTTGGTTGGTCTTGTGCTGCTTGCTCGGGAGCTCGGGAGCGTCAAATTCAAGAACAGAGAGGTTTGCAGCTGGGCAAAAATCCAATAATGACACCAGCACAGCAGCCATCTTTGTCTGCACAAACGCAATCTGAGTTATCAAAAATTGCTACCACAGACTCATCTGCAGACCCTTCTGCAGACCCTGCAGCAAACAATGGCTCCATAATACCGAGCTCAGACTCTCAACAAGATCACAAATCCGCTTCACCCCCTCCTATGACTCGGTTTGAACAACTCACAGAAGCCTTTAATGACAACACTGCTTCAAAAGAAATTACAGATGAACAGCGTCGCCAGCTCAAGCTCTGGCCAATGCGTTATCTTGGCTTGCATTCCAAAATTGAAGATGTTTTAGATATGGATGACCGTATTTATCCGCGTGCAGCTTCACGATTGGGCAACAAACATCAAGCATCAGTTCCTTCGTGGCCAGGCAGACCTTTTGTTTACTACGACATTGAACGTGGTCCAGAGCGTAAAACTCGTGGTCGCTCACGATCGGGTCGTAAGGGCCTTGGTCGCATTACTTATTATGCTTGTCATCCCGACGCTATACCTTTGAATCCTTCCGAAGACATCGTTAAGGCCAAAAATCGACCTCCATGGTTTCGGCCCAAACCTGTTGGATATATTGAACGTGGTGGTGACGATACTAGCACGCTCATGTGGAAGCGTCCAGAAAATGAACTCAATGAAGAGGAAAGCATCCACAATGACTTGCTGGTTGATGAGTATCTTGAACAAACGGTCGCAATTGCCAAAAAAATTGGAGTCAAGTTTTATACCCCAAACTTTATTGATTCTTGCCTCAAAGCTTACATGGATTGCGACCGAAATCCCGAAGAAGCTCTTAAAATTGTAGCGACTTTTACGAAAGAGTCTCTTAAGGAGCCTATTCTTACTGATTCAGAAAAACGGCGTTTTGCTGAGGGCGTCAAGCTCTATGGCAGTGAGCTTCATGAAGTCTACAATCATGTCGGCACTAAACCTTCTGCTGATATTGTACGCTACTATTATTTATGGAAAAAAACTCCAGAAGGTCACAGCATTTGGGACAATTACGAAGGTCGTCGTCGTAACAGGCTCAAGGAAATCAATCGCGCTGAGGGTGGAAGCAATGGAACTCTTGTCGACGATGTTGCAGATAGTGCAGATGACTCAGCTTACGACTCAGACAAGTCTATTTTATTGAAGCGCAACTATGAATGCAAGCATTGTCACACTACCACTTCGCGGGCCTGGCGCAGAGCACCTGGCCATCCTGTCGCCAATGCTAACAACCCAATCATTGCTTTATGTATTCGCTGTGCTCGTCTTTGGCGACACTACGGAGTGATTTGGGAGGAACCAGATGAGATTATGCGTCGGTATAATCAGCCAAAGCGTCGCATTGAACACGAGTTGGTAGAGGATGCAAAAGCTATTATCGAAGAACGAGATGCTGTTTCTATTCTAGTTCCTCGGACCAAACGCCAGCGATTATCTTCGTCTTCCTTGTCAACTTTGACCGAAGCCCAATCTGGTGGTCTATTAGACTCTGCAACCAATGGTGGAGAGTCTGCAGGGATCCCCACTCAACCTAATGCTACACGAGCCCGTGGCAGGTATGCCAAGTCTGGACGTACTCGGTCTTCAGGTCGTGGGGGTGGTCCTAATCGGACAAACATTGCAGCGGCAGTTGTTACCGCAGTTCGAAATAAGCCCGGACCTAAACCACGTGGCAAACCGGGTCGTAAACCCAGGAATAAAAAGATTCCTCAAGTTATTCCTCTACCTGAGGAGTCATCATCACCAAGCTCAGACGAGTTTGAGTCTTCTGGAGGAGCTGTGATTTCATCGTCTCCTGATCTTATTCTTTCATGTTCTTCCTCACCGTCTCCAAGCGACATTATGAATCTTTCGAGCTCACTAGAAAATTCTGAAGAGCCTAGAACTGTTGAAGAAGTCACTTCTTCGGCTACATTGAAGAGTGTTGCTCCTGATTTTGAAAATGAAAAGGACGTTGAACTCAAATCTAGTATTTCTGAGTCTGGTAAGCGCAGCATGCACTCCACCACCAACTTAAATTCTGTGGCCACCACATTGGCCTCTAGCAATGCTGCTTCCACCACTACCACTACCACTATCACTACCACCACCAAAAACAAAAGCATACCAGCTACAGTCGCTACCACCGCTGGAACAAGCAACAACGACGACAACAACAACACCACCACGACTACCACCGCAACTACAACCCCATCAAACATTTCCGCGGAATCCGCGCCGAAACTAGAGGAAGAATCTATTGCTGTCAAAAACAACTCAACCTCTATTTTGAAGAGCAGGAATGTCATGGAAATGCCCTCAAAGCCATTTTATCGCCAACCCGACGAGGTACTACAACAACAACCATACCCACAGCGACTACAACAAATCAATCAGCATCAACTGCAAACTCATTCATCTCAAATACCCGTCAATGTAGCCAATCTAAACAGCGACGTGGAAGAATCTCCTGGTCAGCAGAAGAAGCTGCCACCTCAAAAACAACAGCGCCAACCTTCGACTTCTGGAAAGTCGTTTCAATTTATAACAGCGCTTGGAACACCAAACCATTCGTCAGCAATGAGCCTCAACAAATACAATTTTATGAGGCGGCACTGCTCCGTGTGTCATGTTCGCAACGTGGATGCCAACAACCAAGTGGTAGAACAGCAGGCTGTTTGTGCCAACTGCGGGCTTAATGTGCATCTGCGATGCTACGGGCTTTCCCCGGACTTTGATTTTTCTTCTCGCTGGCTCTGTGCCGCATGCGACAATGACGTCGACCCACATCTGTCGACCTTTTATAGCTGCATCTTGTGCCCGGTGCGCGAGGTGGTACCTGATGTGCCTAACCGCGAAACGGATGCGTGTCCCGACGCGCTCAAGCCGACGTTTGATAACAATTGGGCTCATGTCAAGTGTGCCATTTGGATTCCGGAGCTGCGCTTTGGATCCCGTGAGCTACAGCCCATTGATGGGATCCACCTTTTGGGCGACCGCTTTTCACAGATTTGTATTTTGTGTGACGGCCGAGGTGGTGCATGCGTTCCCTGCGGCCATTGTGGTCGAATGATGCACGTTGGGTGTGCAGACAAGTATAAGCTTTTCCGAGGCATTGAAATAATACCTGCTTCTCGTGCAGATTCCACTAAAAGCGGTTCTGTTCGATTTAATGGTAAGCTGGTGCATATGGTTCCTGTTGTTCTTTGTGACCGGGCCACCCGAGGGCCTCAGCACTTTTCTTTGGACCATGTGGACTCGGAAACCGGAGAGTCAATTTTGGCCATTTATCTATTCCACTACAAGATTCGGCAAATGTCTCAGACAGGTGCTATGAAGCGATCATTGTTATATGAAACAGATGCTGATGTTGATGGCGATGGAGAAACTGGCGGATCACCCATTGTGCGTGATACTGGACCTCGGTGCTTTGACTGTGGGTCGGATTCATCACTGGTTTGGTGGGACCGAGCCGAAGAAGGACTTGCTCCACGCAAAAAGTCCATGTTTTCGCAATCCATATCCCCAAGCCCCGTTGCGTCGCCTGGGGAGCACCATGAAAAGCTATGCCAGAGATGTTACTGGAAGTCAAAGGACCCAGAAGAGTATAGCAAAGCCTATGAGCGAGGGACCACGAGTTCTAACAAGCCTTTTAAATTAATGCGGGCTATTCCATCGACTTCAATTCTTGCTGCAAGCTCTGACGCCTTGGTTACACTTGTCAGAGAATCCAATTTATCACCAAAGGAAATTAAAGCCATTACATATGCACCGGAGTTCAAAGACAGGAGGCTACAGTCCTCATCACCGGTCGTTGATACACCAATACCCAAGGCATCTGACGATTCTATTTCTCAAGCAGTTGTGTTAGAGCCAAAAGCCATGGGACCCAAATATGATCCCAATACACGCTATTATTATGATGAACGTGAACAGCATGACGAAGAACGCGACATTCACCTTCAGCACCGGGACCATCTTCATTCTTTACATAACGAAAGCGATCAGCATTATCAACACCATCGGCATTATCACCGAGCATCATACTATTATGATGAGGCTATGCGTGACCCCAGGGCTGTTGATGGATACAGCTCTGAGTGTATGCCAGAGCACTTGCCACAAAAGCGATCTTTGTCGCCTGGATTGGCGGCAGCACCCCGGAGTCCTCCTGCAAGACTTGCAAGCATGGGGCAGCCAGTTGGTGGCCATCACCCGCCGCCTAATGGACCTTATGCGTATCCAATGCCATTCCCCCCATTATCGTCATCGGCGTATGGGTCATATCCAAGACCCCCGTATCATTATCCACCTCCACCACCTTCACTGCCTCTATCTGGACCTCATAGTTGGGGTCGGTATCCGTACCATCATGGGTCACCAGTTCCATCTGGTCCCATGCTTACACCTCCTGCGCCCCCCTCTGCACAGGCACCGGGACCGCCAACACTACCACCACAGCAGGAGTCGATGCAACAGCAATTACAACAAAGGTTTCAACAACGGCAACAACAAAGATCCCAACGACAGCCGCTACCACTGCCACCACCATCGTTGCAACAACAACAACAACAACAACAACAACAACAACAACAACAAAAGCAACAACAACATCCACACCCTGCAGTTTCAGGACCTTCAGCAGAAGGTAGCTCTAGTACAAGTAATACCGGTAGCTCAAATAGTGGTCGTAGCAATAACAACAAGGGAACAGGCTCTTGGGGAACACACGAGTATGGTGATCGCGGGGCGGGTATTGATGGCGATGTGCGTGGCCCGCGAGGTGCAGACTCGATGCATGGACAACATGGATCACCGAGACAAGTGCCAATGGGATCTTCATGGGGTGATGGTACTGGAGACCTGTATAGGATGCATCATCACCACCATCATAACCGCCACGGTTCTCACCATGGGCCGATTTCTGGCCATCATCCAATGGGATCTGGATATTATGATTATGGTGCATATGGGACTTCGACATTACCTCCACCACCACTTCCTCTTCCTCCTCCTCCTCCGGGTCCAACTCAGGAGGCTTCTGGGTTACCGCCGCATTTACCACCCACATCAGCACTTCCTTCTTTACCACAATTAGTTTCTCATGAAGGAGGAAGCGGTCCTCACGGTTCTTTGCCAGGCCCTCACCATGGGTCTTATGGGTATAGCCATTCAAAGTCAGGATCTTTGCCTCCTACACGACACCATGGATCGTCGGCGTCGTACCGATATGAAGAGGATCCTCGAGGCATGCCACCACCACCACCACATCATCCATCACCTGCTTCTTCATCATCATCATCATCATCATTAGGTCCTAGTGGACACCACCAGCGCATATCGCACCATGAGCTTCATTCGCGAGCCGGTAGCAATCAGCCGACTTCTCGAAGCAATAGCAATGAACGCCATCATCTTTCTACTCATAGTGCTGCGCTGCTGGGAATGCCGGGTCCTCCGCCGGGCCCGACAGCTTCTTATTCTCATTCTTCTGGTTATGGGAATGGGGGGTATCATTTGCCACCTCTTGGCAACTCTAGGGGCCATTCAGGACCAGAGGCCGGATTTGGGTCTTCAAGATCCGGACGTGATGGGCGTCGGATGTCCCACTCTGATGTCCGGCGGCGCCGGACAGGCGGGTCTTGAGGCAGCGGTGGCCACAGCTGTATATATAGTGCTATAGCGAAATATTGTCTTATGAAATTTTTTTTTTCCCCGTGGGGTAAAAGGAGGGGTGCGGATGTCACCCACCCACCCAGAAAATTTGGCGTTACCCACCAGCGCTGCTGAAATTTTCATGTGGCCCGGCCGCTGCCGCCCTTTTGGCCGAGGCTCGAGAAAAAGCCACGCCGGCCAGTTCCAATGACCGCTCCACGATTTTTCAGCCTGGCAGTGATATATAAATACTTGGGGGGTTGGCCATAATTTTAACTGAAAAAATTTTTTTTTAATAGTTCCTCGTTTCATATATATATATATATATTTAAATAAACCTCTTCATCCCGTCCATTTCTATTCATATTCACAATGTCTGACGCACCTGAAATTGATACCTCCATTGCTACCACTCAGCCCCCTGAAAACGCTCTTGTTGGCCAGCTCAAGTCCTTTGCCGCCGGCGGCTTTGGCGGTGTGTGTGCTGTTGCGGTCGGCCACCCATTCGATCTCGTCAAGGTGCGTCTGCAAACCGCTACTCCTGGTCAGTACTCTGGTGCCATTGATGTTGTTAAGAGAACCGTAGCCACCGATGGCCTCACAGGCCTGTACCGCGGTGTTGCTGCTCCTCTTGCTGGCGTGACCCCCATGTTTGCCATTTCCTTCTGGGGTTATGACCTCGGTAAGCGACTGGTGTCTGCCGTGTGGACCCCTGCAGGACCTAACGGCGATCTCTCTATTGGCCAAATTTCTGCTGCCGGGTTTTTCTCGGCCATCCCCACAACCGCTGTCGCCGCTCCCTTTGAGCGTGTCAAGGTCATTCTCCAGCTCCAGGGTCAACAAAAGACTCCTGCTCCTGGTGCCCCAGCCCCCAAGCAATTCAACGGTGCTATTGACGTCGTTGCCCATCTCTACAAGGAAGGCGGTCTGCGCTCCGTCTTTAAGGGCTCTGTTGCCACACTGGCCCGTGACGGTCCCGGATCGGCTCTTTACTTTGCCACATACGAATACCTTAAGGTCCTGCTGACACCCGAGGGCCAGTCAATGTCTCTTGGTGCTATTTCTTTTGCCGGTGGTATGGCTGGTGTTGCCATGTGGGTCCCCGTCTTCCCCATTGATACCATTAAGTCTCGTCTTCAGTCTTCCACTACCTCCCAGTCCATTGGTCAGGTCACCTCCGCTATCTACCGTTCCGGTGGTCTCAAGGCTTTCTTCCCTGGTTTGGGTCCTGCTCTTGCTCGTTCTTTCCCTGCCAACGCTGCTACCTTTGTTGGTGTCGAGCTGGCCCACAATTTCTTCACCTCGGTTGGCATTTAAACGTGACAATTTTTTTTTAAAAAAAATCCTTCTATTCTTTTCTTTATTGTTTTTTTAATGACTTATAGATTATTCAACTTTTTTTCTTCCTAATTCTAACTGTAAAACCCATTGAAGTTCAGACGAACTCCAAGAAATCGCATCTCACTGTCTTCTTGCTTCCCCAAAGCCTGAACCAACCGTCGTAGACTAGCCTGGAACTGCGAACGCAAGTCTGTTAGCGTCGCATCAATCTTCTTGATTCGCTTCAGTATGCTGTTCCCAGGGTCCACACCACCATTATTTTGACCATCTCTCTGAGCCAGGGACTGCGCGTGCAGCCGCTCAGACATGTCGTGTAGCCCTTCGCACGTGACGCCAAACGCCAACACAATTTTGAGCAACGAGTGCAACTCGCCCATCAGAAAGTCTCCGCCGCCCAGCAGGCCCTTGTGGGTGATTGTTCGCAAGTATTCTCGGTGTGCAGCCGCTATCTCGTCCACAGACAAGTCGCCTGTATCCAGCCGTCGTGTCAACTCTCCCCACGCCATCTCTACGACCTCGTAATTAATATAGTACTCAAGCTCGCTCACAAAGTGGACCATCTCACAGCACATGTCTCGCACGCCCTGCCACAACCCGCCCACCAACGGGTGGTACAGCCCGTAAACACTGCTCTTGTATGGTATTGTATTGCTACTCACCATACGGTTGGCAATATTGGTTTCGCTCGGATGGCGCAAATACCGGGCTCGGGTTGCAGCACGGTCCATGAGAGTGAGCTGTCGCCAGGTCGTATTTAACGTAAACGAAACACGCTTTATTCTCCAAAGAAAGTTAAACACTCGTAGATATTCCTTCATCGACTTGTGGTCCCAAATTACTGCATTCAACGGCTCTTCCACTCTGTAATCAAGCGTGAAAACATCCCACCCAATGTCTCCGTGCCCAAGCTCCAGCATGCGCGCGTCCAGCGCCCGCAACACGTCGGGGTGGTCGTGTCGCGCGTTCGATCCGCGCACTGCAGTCTCCAGGGTAGCCGTAAGGTGGTGTCGGAACAATTGCAAGGCCGGCCGTTCCAGCACTGGAGCAACACTTTCAACAAGCAATTGCACAAAGTCGCCTTTTCCTAGCAGCAAATAATCCTTCAAGCCACGCAAATGGGCATCCAAATGGAACTTGTTTCGTAAAAGATCGTTGAGATGACTCACAACCCGTTCATACGTCTCCGACACTTCTTCCCGAAGCTGCGAATCTGGCAATTGTAGAACCCCAGGATCCAACCGGGCCAAAGCTCGTCGCTCATCTACCCACTCGCGGTCATCACAAGCGCCGGCAATAAAATGTAGCGTTTTGCCAATCTGAAAAATTTGTTCCGCAACCTCGCGCGAAATGTAATCTGGTATATATGCCTCGGCAAGGTAAAAAGTGCCATCCCAAGGATTGGAATCGTCTGCTGAATTCCCCCCGGCATTATTATTCGTTCGCCTTATAAAAAACTCCTCGTGAGGGTCAACCAGCTGCCCAGAAAGCATCCATTGGCTCAGCATGTCGAAGAACGATCGCGCAACTTGGGGCACAAGGCGCTGTGCAAACTTGGCCACAAATTCATCGCCATGGTACGTATATGCATGCACAAGAGACAAAATCTGCCCGCCTACAAGTCCCTGGGTTTCTTCCAAGATCATGCGCACCAACCGAAGCCCTAAGGTTGCTTCCTGAAGTAATACAATGCTGCGTGTCAGAGTCATTCGCCCGCCAATTCCGTACTCACGAGCTTCTTTCGACACCCCGGCATCCGGGGCCTGCAGTGTCATTTCCTGCCTCCGGACTTCGGTTTCCACAACCCCCACAAATGCTAGGTAGCTCCGCAATTCATTCTCGATTGCAGAATCCAATGCTTGCAAAACCAATCCAGTCTTGGGGGCCTTTTCACGTCGGTGTAATTCTTCTTTGATATTTCGGTACAGCACCGCAGGTTCCATTAGCCTGCTCAGCTGTCCAATCTTTTGCCAGGGCAGATGCGTAGGCAACGCCAGCACCGTGGTAGTCTGCTCATCGTCATCTTCATATTCAATATCCATATCTCCATCGCTAGTTTTCTGTGCTCGCATTGGATCTGGCGGTAGCGGTTCGACCCATGTAAATGTACTTGACGAGATACCCTGAAGCGTATAAGGCAGCTCGCGCAAAATCTGGCGGTTGCTAGGTGTCTGGTTCTTATGTATATTCCACAGTATTTCGCGTGCTGACATTCGCTCAGGATCTGTAGTTTCTGTGGTAGAGTTTGGTGTGTATTGTGGACGTTCGTGTATCGTAGGACTACCGCGTCTGCTGGAATCCGGGAACGCATCTGGAAGATTGTGAAGGTACCGTGAACGATGATGGTCTGCGCGTTGTCGGGTCTCTGATTGTGAAGATTTGATGAGTTGCAGAAGAGCAAGGGCCTCGCCAGGGTGTCGGAGATATGCTGCACGGGTTTCAAGGTCTTCAAACAATCGTGCAGTCGCGTTCAAGAAACTGACTGCAGTCTCGGGGTTTTCATGTTGAACTAGACAAAAAAAAATAAATGTAAGAGAAAAGAAAATTTGAACAAAAAAATACACAACTCACGTTCAGTATATATAGCATCACGGACGGTATAAAAGTTAGAGTAATCTGTTGTTGGCGTGTTTCTAATACAGGAGTTAATGATACTAGGTTGAAGCTATGTTAATTTCCTTACCCTTCGAGATGCCGGGAAGCCTTATTTAATAAAAAGGACTTTTCATCAAAGCTTAAAACATCCCCAAGAACATGATCAACAAGTTTCTCGAGTAGCTGCGGGACTCTGCTGCTACCATGGGAGTCCATTTGTTTTTTAAAGAGAGAAGTGGTGGGGCTGCTTCTCTAAAAATTTGGTGGTGGTTAAGAAAAAAAAAAGATGCCTACCACAGTGATCTGCCCAAAAAAGGAGGTTTTCAAATCATAAACCTTAACAATTAATTTTTTTTTTCTTTACATCAAAATTTACATTGCTGAATTATCAATTGCAAGAGCGTCCAGCTCCAAAGCAAAGAAACTGGGAAGGTCATCTTCATCATCCCCTTTTTCCGTCGCGACATCATCATCATCATCATCACCATCATCATCGTTTCCGTTCTCCTTTTCTTCATACTCTCTGCGTAACCGTTCATTGTAAAACTGAATCAGTGCACGCACAGCCGCCTCCTGGGGTTGAGCATCCTCGGCTTCTGAGTTTAAATCGCCGCTTTGCAACCAGTCGTCGCGTAACTTTGTCTTACAATTAAGATAAATTGCAGACACCAGGTCCATATTTGTGGTCCGCCACTTGCGCCCATTAAAAGGCACCTGCTCTTTGAATATTTCTAAAACGAGTTCCCATATATCCTTTTGATATATGCTCAGAGCTTTGCGCAATGTGTCTGGAGGCAATTCGGCAACAACAATAATTCGTTGAGTTTTTTTGCGTATAATGCGGCGCAGGGTTCGCAGCAGATTAATCGTGGTGAAAAAGTATCTTCGAGAATAAATTGTGACCGATGATAACAATTCGTCTTCATTCTCTTCATCGACTTCTTCCTTTTCTTGTGATGGTTTCTCGGGCTCGTTTTGGGATTCATTCCAAGAATCCGAGAGCCCTCCACAAAAGGCAAAAAAGTTTAGTTTTGGGTCGTCAAGTATTTCTAAAGCCTTTTCATAAGGCACATGCGAGTAAAAGTATTTAAACACCAACAAGTGATAACGTGAGTCAAAAAGTAATGTAGACAAATGCTCAAACTTGCAGATGTGTGAAATCTTAAACCAACTGGCAAGAACTGATATACATGCAGACACAGCACGAAGACCGATATCTTTAGCGCGCGAAGTTGTGCCTGCATATTGGTTCGCTGAAAGGTAGGTATCAATGTGACTCTCAGAAGAGGAGAAGGATGCATTTGCCAAAAGAAATTTTAGTAAAACAAGAACAAATGAGTTAAGGTCACCAAGAACAGAAACATAAAACTCTTCGACACGCTCTAAAATAAGTTCTTCGTACTGCGACTCTTCAAATTCATGATACTCGCGTGGTGCTGGAACCCATCCGCGCTCTTGTTGCATGAATTTGTCACGTTCATCCCAAAGCTGCATCATGCTGGGTGTAGTATGAATGCGCGAGTGAAACAGTTCGCTAGCCTCAACTATACTCTGAGGAATGTTGCTTTCTGTAGGGTGAATAAAGGGGAAACTTTGGTTAGTCATAAACACAGATTTGCGGACCTTTTGGCCAGCAGCAATAGCCGGAGATGCAGGTGGGGATGGGGCCGGGGTGGCAATATGCACTGTGGGGATTGGCAGTGCGTTATTGGAAGACTGTGCAATAACGGGTCTTGGAACCTCAATGTAGTGGGACATACTTCGTGAGTTGTCAAAGTTGCGAGGCAGACGTGAGGACGGAGGGATGTAAGCTGGGTATCTAGACATCATGTCTTGGCGAAATGCATGATAATCCAATGGTGACGCCATGACAAGATCAGTGTTTTCGCCATTATTTTCTGGAAGATTATATTTTTTGTACATGTAAGACTTGACTCGAGCAAGGTCGTCATCATCGCCAAAAAGACAAAGCATTGTTTTCCAAAAAACAAGGCAAATGGGCCTTAGTGGAAGGTTTCCTTCAATGCCCCAGCGCAACCGGGACATCGCTTGAACGAAGTAAAGGAGAATGTTAAGTTTGTACAGGTCTGCAGCAAATTCAGTATCGTGTCTGTGGGATTCAATTGTGAAGTAGAGGATTGTGAGGACGCTGAAAAGCTCCATGTTTAGCTCATTTTCGGCATCGCTACCACTTGAAGGTGTGTCATCGTCTGCGTAAAGATCGGCAGGGACTTTGAGATTCACATCATGCACCAGGAGAGCATAAAGAGATGGGAGTGCATTGTGCTTCCAAAGAAAATGGGTATTAAGCTTGATTTGTGCGATGTGATCTGCAGTGGATGAAACTGAAGCGTAAGAGCCAAGAGCAACATAGGAAAGAAAAGAAAGAGCGCTGCGGCGGGTTGCTGAGTTAGTAGATTTCAAGTCGAAAAGCCAGGATGTAACGAGAGACTCTTGTGTGTTGACTGAAAGATCCCGCCAGTCATTGTCATGATTTTTTTGAAACTGGAATTTAAGAGATGGTAATATTTCATTATCTTCGTAAAGAAACCATTCTTCAATTTCAGCTTTGAAATCCTCGGTGCCAGTGTACTTGTAATTAAAATTGGGTACATATTTAAACATGTTTATATCGCCACCGGTAAATTCTTCTGCGCGGTTACGACGTTCCTGAGACTTTGATTTCTTAGTTGGTGACGAGCTGCGTGGGATTATAGCTGTATCTAGTTCGTCTCCTGTTAGTCCCGAAGTTTCCAACTCTGTTCCGAGGTCTGGGCCAAGGTCTGGGGCCAATTCTGGAGGAAGGGCTTCGTCTACTGCCGAAAGGTTTGGGAAAGCGGATGAGGAATTTCCATTGGGGAAGTTGATAACATGGCCGGCCAAGTCGTCACTTTGAGGGGTCAGAAAAGAAATCTGTCGGTCTATGTTTCCCAAATTTGTATTATTATGGGTAGTGGTGGTGGTAAGATCGTCGTACTCGATGCTTGTTTGCTTAGGAGGAAATTCCTGGGTATCATCGTCATCATCATTTGTGTCTATTTCATCAATATGACTGCCAAATTCGTCGTCATCATCACCGCCTATATATATAGGTTGATTATGGGTATAAGAGGATATGGTATCATCGAATGCAGGCCCGAGGGATTGCGGCGGAGAGGAGGCCATTGGAGAAGTTGGGCTACGGTCAGGCTGTGACGCGGAGGCAGAGATAGAATCTGTGGCTGCTTGAGCAGTTCTCTCTGCTGCTTCATCATGTGCCAGAAGATTCACAGAAGCCATAGATCTAAATAAAAGTTTTTAAAAAAAAGAACGGGATGTGAAGTTATCGTAAAAGAAAATTTTCCTGGCCTTTGTATGAATTTTCAACGGGCTGTTTTGGGATGGTTTTGAATGAAATATAGTAGCTGGTGGTTATTTCCTGATTTTTTGAGGTGGAGAAGCGACGTAATAAAAATTCCACGAGAGCACTAACAGAATTTCCAATTAAAGAAGTATAACGCGGCTCTTTCAAATATAGAAATCCTGCTTCGCTTTTGGTTCACTTTACATGACCACATTAAGGCTGCCTGTCTGGCCTCACCGCCAGCATTAAAAAAACCATTATCCCAACCACCACCATCCGCAACCTTCACAAATAGCCACCTTCCCTAACAAAAAAAAAAAAAAAAAAAAAAAAAAAAAAACTAGTTCATCTGCCAGCACATCATTTTTTTTTGTCTTCATTATCTTTTTTTCAGCTTAAATTTTTCTGTTTGATTTTCCCTAACTGGACGGAAAAAATTGAGAGGTTCTTTATTCTAAAACATTATTATTTTTTTTCCGTGTGTGGGGGACTTTTAGAAGACCTTTTTTGTTTTTTGTTTTTTTAATTTTTTCAGTTTTTCCTGGGAAACAATAATGAGCAACGGCACGATTGACTGGGCGCTTGATTTGAGAGTCCGGATCACCACTCTGCTGGACAATACCATCACCGGCACCGTGTATGCGTTTTGCCAAACCACAAATACCATCACTCTGATTGAGGACCCGCCGGCCGAACAGTCCACAACAACAGATTCCAATACCAAGCCCCTGAGGCCCAATTACCGTATCATCAAGACCTCGTTTGTGCGCGATGTCACAACTCTTTCTCGACCCAAGAAGACTACAATTCCACCGTCAGCTGCGAGCATTGCACAAGGAACCCCTCATAGAGACGCGTTCGCGCGGGCTGAACCACCTATTGGTCCTGTGGCTGTGGCCCAACTCAATGCAAAGGCCGAAGCCGCAGTGGCAGCTGAGCGCAAGCGCCGGGCTCGAATTGGCGTTGGAGTGACTAAAGAGGCACAAGCCTTTTTTGATCTGCTATCTAATACGTGAGTTTTTGTTTTAAAGAAAAAGAAAAAAGATATCTAACAGCAATTTTTGTTTTTTAGCGTTCCCTCTATTTGGCATGGAAAGTCTATCATAGCCATGGAGGAGGTTAGGATTGATCCTCCATACACTCCGGAGAGCTGCCTTGCTGACGATCCCGATTCAGCAGCTCTGCGATATGTCAAGCGTGTTGTTGAGGGAACTCGGGAGAAGCTTGCACATACGAATTCACAGATCAAGGGAGGTTGAAGTTGGTGGGTATATTTCCAAGTCTGTTTCATTAAGATGATATGATCAGTATATGTGCATATATATACAGATATATAAATGAGAAAAGATAAAAAAAAAAAACTGCATACAGTTTTCACATATTTTAAAAAAAAAATTTAAAAATTTAAAAACAAAAAGATCAAAAGTGAAATATTTCTAAATCGTTTGACGGTTTGAAATTGTTTGAGTTGTGTCTTTGAAATTAAAATATAACACCATGGACATAGACATGTTTTATGTTACAGATCTTATGTACTAAGTTCTATGTACCAAATTCAAGTACCGACACCTTGCCGCCCGACTGCCCGGTCCCAGTTTTTTTTTTTTTTTTTATTTTTTCTTGGTCAAAATTTTTTTTATTCTCTTTTCTTTCTTTCCACGTCTTTAAACTCATTTTTTTAGTCTGTAAACCATTTATATTTTTTCATTTCAGATTTTGGTTCTATTTAAACTCAACTTTTCTAGCATTTATATTGTTTCAGCGCTATTTAACCTTTTTCTCCTGATAATTACCTCCACTTTTTTACCCTGGTTTTCTTATTCCTCCACCTCCTTATTTTCCTACTCTATAATCTCCATCTAGTTCAACCCCTCATACTCCTATGAGCTCCACGTATAAACGCCAGCGGATCGACCTTACACCGGAATGCTTTGCCACCGAAATTCCACAGTCTCTGCTTCCAGTAACTTGCGGCCCACTCTCTGCAAAAGCCTATCGCGACCGCCAAGTTAGACCCTTAGTCTGGCTTCTCTTTGGGGGTACCGGTGCACTTGGCAAGCAAATTTCGCGCACAGCAATTGCGCGTCGTGATCGTGTCTTCATCGCAGCCCTCGACGAAGCTGACACTGATTGCGGATTCCCCGTTGAAGACGATGCTTCGAAATCGCCAGAAGAGCACAGTCATGGTTCTGCAAACGCAAATGACGTCTCTGCCAATACTGGCCCTTCTGAAAATGATGACAACTACTCCTCGGCACACAACAACCCCGCACAACGGCCAAACGGCTATCAAAATGGTGGTGGTGGCGCAAGCTCAACTCCACTAACTTCTGCCAATGCCAAAAGCTCAACTGCCAATTCAACAGAGTCACCAAATAAAAATCGCCGACGATCTGCTTCAAAAAAACGCCCACGAATCATCAATCCAGAGCTTTCCGCCTCCGCTCCTGAAATTGGATATCTTTACATTGACGAACGCTTCAAAAACCTATGCTATCGTGTTAAATGTGATGTCCGCATCCGCGAAAGCGTCGACCGGGCTGTCCAAAAATGTCTACAGGTATTTGGACGCATTGACGTTGTCGTCAACTGCTTCGGTTACGGTGTCATGGGTGCTTGTGAAGAACAGTTTGACACTGAAATTCGCTCCCAGTTTGAAACAAACCTCATGGGCCTCTTTCATACCATCCGTGCTGTTCTTCCATACCTCACAAATGCTGCTCGCATGAGCGCTAATGATAAAGTCCCTAACGATGCTGTTAAAAAGGGAATATATAAAGATAATGTCAACTCAAATGCACCAATTACATCTACCCCAGGTCATATCATTTCTTTCACGTCATCTATGGGTGTGTTGGGTACTCCTGGATTTGGTCCTTATAGTGCAACCAGATGGGCTGCTGAAGGACTTCTCGAAAGTCTATCTTTTGAAGTTGAACATTTGGGATGCAAAGTCACTATAATTGAAACAGGATATGCCAAAAGTGGTTCAAAAGAAGATGATAGTGCCCGGGTAGCAAGAACGTGAGTATATTTTTCTTTAAACCCTTTTTTTTTTCTTCACTAACAAATATAGTACTGGCATTCACGAACTTAACTCAACACCAATTTCATCTCATTTTTTCCTTCGGGATTTAGGACCTCAATACCAAAATACTCCAGCAGAATACGGTGTCCAGTTTGTGAAGCACCTGGACAAAATTCTTGCCACAAGTACAGTCAAAGTTGCCAGCATTATTTGGGAAATTGGCCACTGCCAAAATCCTCCTCTTCGCTTACTCTTAGGTTCATGCGGTGTACTAGGCATGAAGGATAAGCTTAGAGGAATGGCTGAAGAAATTGAAGATTGGAAATTCCTCTATGATGAAAACCAATTATGATTTTAAATGACATTGCATACTTGCTTATGATGATTTAACGATAACTTTATGATTTATGACTACTACTACTATTTTTTACGGAAAACTAGATTGTAAATATATACTTCCGCTCACTTTTCTTTTAAAACAACAACTGTCCATGGGTGATCTTTACTTCCATACATAATATCCTCAAAATGTTTTTGCAGATCGTTCACAATGCCTGTTTGAAGCACCGGTACATGAATTGTCTTACCCTCTGGCGTCCGAATCTCTCCAACGGCTGCTACAAAATAAGCTGTACCAATTGCAAACGCTTCCTGTAATCTGCCTTCCACCATTGCTTCTTCCAAATCGTCAATTGAAAATCTCTTTTCCAAAACCTTCACACCTGTGTCAAGCTCTCTTTCTCTAAGATACTCTAGAGCTGAACGCCGATTAATACCCGGAAGAATCAAATTGGTATCAAGCGGACAAGTCACAATCTCAATATTTCCATTGATCTTGTTGCGCAGCACGGCCATAAAATTGGAGCCGCCAGCTTCAGTTACAAGCCGCTCTTGCTCCCCATACAACCACAAGACTTGATCATACCCATCGGCACTGGCCCTTAACTGTTGCTTTAAAGTTGGACCATAATTTGCTCCTAGTTTTTTACTACCAAATCCTGTGGGCCAAGCTCGCACAGCTTCAGTTGGCTCCGACGAGTAAAGTTTTAAAGATTTATCGCTTAAACTAGGCATGAGCGTTAGTACAACAATAAGTTTGGCCATGGTTGTAGCATTCAACCCAAGCCCTGTGGATGTACCAAGAATAAAAGGTCGTGTATAAATAAATGATCCAGGTTTGATAAAACGTGCCTCGAGGCTTACAAACTTTAACAAAATTTTTAAAAGCTCTTGCTCATCAAATTGAGGCAGAGTCAATCGCTGAGCTGAATCATTTAGTCTAGCAAGGTTTAGTTCAGGACGAAGTAAGCGCACAGTTTTACCATCACGAGACCGAAACACTTTGAGGCCTTCAAAGCATTGTGTTGCATAGTGTAAGCATGATGAAGTGGGATCAAGAGCCAATGGCTCCACAGGTTTAATTTGAGGAGTACCCCAACCTTTTTCAACAGTCCAATCAATTTCGAGCATATGATCTGTAATCGAATTGGGTGGGAGCTTGTCGAGGGCTTTAGGAGTTGTGGTCTCAGTAATGACAAGATCGTAGAAATTAAAGTGTTTGTTTTCAGCAGACATTGAAAATATATTATTTACTTGATTATTTTAGATCGAGAATTCTGTAAATAATAAAAATAACTGAGGAATTTAAATGTGTACTTATACTTGGAATACAACAATAGACATAAAATATGACTCAGAAAGTATGGTGAAAAAATTTGCTGATACTTGGGTACCCAATATGTCGGATTATTATTCATGAATTGGCTAAAACATAATTGATACCCTTAAAAAGCCGAAATAATACATGTCCAAAAACTATAATGAGCTTTTTTTTTCTGATTTTAAATGACTGATATCTGTAATAGGCGGGATCAATTTAGTCTGGTTAATTGCTACAAAAGCTGGGGGTTAAAAGAAAAAAAGATATTCTGTTCAAGCATGCACAACGCCGCTATCGGTCATGCGGCTGCATTATTGAAATTTTGACATTGTTATCGTTTCTGTTGATAGCTTTGACTACTTGTTTTTCGGCCCGCCAGTAACCGAGCCTTTCTCTACCTGCTGAAATTTACTATCTAAACAGTCATAGGTAGCGGCAAAATGATATTTATTAAAGGGCTTTGATGCAGGATATTATTGTAAGCTCCAGAAACTCTCTAACGTGGAGATGACTAATTTTTGAAAAAAATTTCTAAGTATTAGAAGCATATATCTATTTTTTTCAACCGTTGATTATTTCAATTTTTGCTTTTAGAATGTTCATTATCCTAAAAAGGGGAGAGTCAGTTCATGGCTTATGCGGAGGTCTATTTCACCGTTAAAACTTTATAGGTGAACTTTTGATTTAGTCATTTAGAAGTTTAAGTATTGCATAGATATTTTTTTGATTAATTATGCTATCATAAAAAAGGGATTGCTATTGATCATTAATCATATCTTATACTAATTTGAGTCCCTTATCATATATGTTACTAATACCAGTTAAAAATCATAATCTTTTAATCCGAACTTGTCTAAATAGTTTTAAGTATCTAAGTGAAATAAAATATAATATAATATAATATAATATAATATAATATAATATAATATAATATAATATAATATAATATATTATAACATAGTAATAAAACTCTCAAAAATATATGGACCAAATACTAAATGTACGTAATCTGGGTGGGTTAGGGCTGGTATTTCCGATACTCTTAAAACAAACTCAAAAAAACCTTTAAATTTTTAAAATTCCATTAGGGCTAGGGCTATGGCTAAATAAAATTCGGTGAAAAGTTTAAAGAATTTCTACATAAACAAAAAATGCAAGAAACATCCCCTTTTTCAAATAAATTTTATGTTTTATTTAATAATAGTGACATTATGACCTTTCCACAAATCTACTGATGTGTTTGATAAATATTTTTTTATTGTCAATGCACAATGGCTAGAGGTGAATTGGCGAAATAGGGTGCTGTCAAACATTTTATCAGTGTTAAATAAATTTCAATGGTTCTTCTGTTTATTAAAAAATCTCTTTTTTAAATAAATTTAATAAATTGTTCATATGCAAATATATTATGTTATATTTCAATAGTAAAATTCATCTCAAGTTATTCTCTTATTTCACCTGTTGGCTTAAAAAAGGGAAGAAATAATCGATTCTGTTGCTAATACATAATTATGTAACCACCATAAAGCATAGCCACGATCCACACTATTTACAAATTTTTCTTAAATACTTTAAATAAAAAAAATTCATTTTATTGAAATCTGTTTAATTTTATTGGAATTTTTTATTTGGGATTCAATTCATATTAAAGCGTAATCAGTAAACTCGATAAAAGTGCTCATACATTTTAATAGCAGACAATGCAATTTTCTTCCCTTCTTCTTCGTAATCTGAAAGTTTTCGTTTGGGCTCTTTAATAGCAATTTTGATAGGTACTTGAACGTTATCTTTCATTTGAAAGTGCATGATACTGTTAATTAAAGGCTGATAAACAGAGTCCGAAAAATAATCGAGATTTGTTGTGAGAACTTTTTTGCAAACGCCAGCAACTATAAATACAGCCTTGTACGACTCAATGCAAGATGATTTAAGATATAGAATCACATCTGCTGCATCATCTACATTTATCTCTTCAATTCTTGAGTCTGGAATACCGTTATTTATAAGAGTTGTTCTAATGGAATCAAAATACTTTCTGGAATATTTGTCATCTCCAAATGATATCATAGTGACATCAATATGTCTTGCATATGAATAAGACATTGCAGTTATATTATATCTATTGTGACTTTTAAGAATTTTCTGATATAAAAAAAAGATTGAAGCGTAGAATAATATTCAGGGGAGCTCCTGGGTTATATAGTAATTTAAGTTGGAATAAAGATGGTTTACTAAACTTATTACTAAGCTTATTTTCATCTTTAGATTAAACAGATGGAGTAAGGTTATTCCGTGGGTCACATTAATATGGGGTAATTAGATTTTTATTAAAGTTTATGATTTACAGTACCTCATGAGGTAAAAAAACTTACTAAATCTAACTGTTGTTTAACAACATTTCACAAGAAAAAAAAACTTGAAGAAAAGTATAAAAGTAATATAAAGTTAATTTTCCAGTTGCTTTCCTTTCTTGGTGAAAGTATGGGAGGATACATGTTATTTGAATCCCGTGATATTTTGACAATCAAGAAAGCTGACACTTCTGTTCAGTCAACAGGTAATTTCTGGCCGTATCTTTGGTCGAGAGGAATAATAAATACACTATGTTGATGATAACAAGTGTAAATAGGTCGTGTATATTTTGGGACCAACAAACCGGATTCACCTGTTCCTCCTAAGCTAGTATCAGAGCCCAACTTCCAGGGATAACCAAGATTTACAGACCGAAACAGCTTGTACTCAAATGATATACCTTATAACAGTTTATCAAAGTTGAATACGTGTGAAGACAACATAATAGTCAATGAGATTATTTTACTTTAAAAAAAACCTCACTTTGATATAAAAAAAAATCCCGATTTCTGTAGATAATGCTGCACATGTAGAAAATTTGCTACAAGTTAAGGACGATCTCAGCACTATTTAAGGGATTGCTTCCTGGACAGTGGGACTTTTACTATTACTTACCAATACTTAAGTCAGCCATTTTGTATGGTAATAGAATTGTTTCTGCCCCTTGGGATGGGCCAAAGCATAAAATGCTCAATTTCCGACTGGAGTTTCTTTGTGCAAAAAATAGAAAAAGCAAGGTTCATCTGGCTTACCCTGATAAAACTTAACCTTTTTTAAGTCATGGAAACAGAATGAGGAAGACCATTTTTTGAGTGTTTCTTTTTTTGACTACCGATTTGTAAAATCATAATCATATAATTATACAGTATTCACTTTATACAATATTGAGGGTTGTTTATATAAAATGCATAACAATGGTTTAATAGCTATGTTTGAAAAAGAAAAAAATTTTGAGGGAAAAAAGTTTCAAGCACAAGCATGTTAATGTTTTTTCAATCATCAGCCCCGCCTGCCTATTGTCATAGAGTGCCTCTGGGCCCCGTGACATGAGTGGTTAGGGTTAGGTATGCCAAGTGGCAACATAACCAGTGATGAAGTGTCATCACTACAACCACTACCACCACCATCAGCATAGCAGGATAAGACTACGATCAAGAGGAACTGAGTCTATCTTAAGATCAAAGGTACGAGAGATTGAACTAAGCTGATGAAACCTGGGACTAATCATATGTAGACTATTAACCTTAATCAATAACTATAACTTATAACTCAAATCACAACCAAGTTACCCCGAGAACACGACACCTATCAAAATGGGTATCAGGAACAGCTAATACTAGCTGTTTTTTTGTAGAAAAATGGGCTTAGTTAGGATAAAAAAGGAAGTATTTTGATTTTCATGAACTATTGGAACAAAAAGGGGGTTGACAGCAAAAAGAATAATTTGGTGTACTTAAGTGAAAAATGCTTTGCTATTAGAGGTAATGGATACATTGAGTTGGTTATTTTGCTAGTTCTTTTTTTTTTTTTTGAACCTATTTGCCCGATGAAAAGACGGTTGAATGAAGGTCTATTGGCACAAATAGTAATATAATGGCTTTAGAATTAGATTTATTTTGACCTATTACCGATGTTCCTATACCTTTTATTAAGATATCAATACCATAAAGACTGAATTTTTTTTGACGGGATACTTTTGTAAACAAAATGCTATTTGTTAACTTATTAAGAACGTGTTTTTTTTGTTATTTTTGTTATTTTTGTTATTTTTGTTATTTTTGTTATTTTTGTTATTTTTATTATTTCGTTTTGTTTTATTTTATCTCGTTAATTGTTGTTTATTACTCAAATTCAAAGTTGTTAGTTCCGTGAAGGAAAACCAAATTGAGCAAAAGCGATGCTAAGCCTCTATATCCCTAAGCCCCTAAGCCCCTAAGCCCCGTTAGTTTTCCTAAAGAGGAAATAAAATAAAGTTTCTAACACTAAAAAATGAAAAATCCTCCTCGAGAAAACATATTGTTTAGGTAATTGCTTTATAATGAAACCAAAAAAACAGTTGAGGAAGCTAGAAAAGTAGTTCTTCGAGATACCAACTTGTTAAATTTTAAGTTCTAGAATTTTGGCCTAGACTTATGCATTTTGTAAAGATTGGGTATAATATCCACATATAGTCTGATATTTAAAAAAAGTTCTTATTATTTTTCACTCCTTTACATAGCCTCCATGTTATTAAATTCATTGAATATTTTATTTGAGTCTATTTTTAGGAATTCACAAGGAGTATTTTCTGCAGAAAGGTTTCTAACGTGTCACAGCTCCCATAGGACAACTAACTTAGATTGGTGTTAAACATGGGCAAGCAGAGGGAGAAAATAAAAAGAAAAGTGGTGGTAATGGTGCCAGATGCTTACAAATGCAAAACTGTCATTGGCTAAAAGAGTTGACATGGTTTTTAGTAAAAAAAATACTTCCAAAAGGAAAAGTTGACCTCCTCGAGAACCGCCAAGAAATGAGATGAGATAGCTTATCCAAAAAAAAATATACATAAAAAATAAAATGAAAAAAGAAAAAAGCGGGTGAAAAATCTACGAAATCGATTACTACTATGAAAAGCACTGATCATGTTAAACTGTAAAGTGTTTCTAATGCTGTATCGATTGATTTAAAAGCAATAACTTTCGTCTATTCTTTCCTGGGGAACTATTATATCTATGGAAATAGACTTTCTCCAAGTGGTTCATAAGTTTACACTGGTGGACTTTTACTTTATCAATACTTATATAATGATCATGCAACAATAAAAGAAAAATACTACCATGTGCTTAAGTAAATTTTTTAAGTAACCTCTTGACTGCTAATCTACCTTTGATTTATATACAGCTATGTTTATCGAACTTGTTTAATCTTTCAAACCTTTAATCTTTAAAACAATAAAATAAAATAAAACCTCTAAATGAATCTGTAAAAAAAATTTTTAAAAAAAAGAGCTGTATGTTTTCTAGAATTGTCAATTAATTGAATGGAATTATTGTTTGAAATTACACAGTATTAATTAAAACATATCATCTGTAGTCAGTCTATTATAAAAAAAAATATTTAAGAATGGTTGGATTTTTTGAAAATAAACTTAAAAGTGATTTGAATTCCATTAAAATAAAAGAAAAAATAAGAACTTTTGTGAGTCTACTGAATATATCTAACAGATATCCAAGCCACGATGTGACAATAACATGTGGTAAACGAAAGTTTGCCCATTAGGTCCAAAGCAACAATTAACAAAGGTTGGTCACTTTTTTGTCTTTGGGGAACTTATTTCCGAGCGGCGTAAAAATTGTTCAAATATTTCATAGTAAGCAGCAACTAGTAATTATTATGTAAATTTGAAGGCTGTAAAGTTTCTTTACTATTCTCTTATTATTTGGGTATATCTGGTTTATACTAAAAAGGGGGCCAACAACTTATTTGATTTCAGAAATTTATTGATGAAACAAATGTCTTTTAAAAAAAAAAAGCTAGCTTCAAAATTTAATAATGATCAATAATCCTTTTTTTTTTTAAAATAGGCTAGTTTCTAAGTTGAATGCAATATTTCTTTTATAAAAAGTTAAGTAAATTTTAAATGAAGATTATATACTCAAATTATTTTTCCTTTTACTCTTTGGTATTAAAACGATTTAGAAAATTAAAGACTCAAAAAAAAAAAGTTCAAGAAAATTTAAAGGCCTGACATTAAATTTCTTTTAAATATAAATATCTCTGATATTCCCCTTAAATTTATTTATAAACAGATTCTAAAAAGCTCACCAATATTTTATAAACTAAACCAACATGAAAATCATTTTTATTCCTTTTTTATTTTGGACATCAACTGTTCTAGCAGATGCTGGAGATGACACACTTTTTCTTGCTTGTTTAAATCTAGTCGGTCCATATAATTATGCTTGTGACGGTAGAGACATACTTTCTGATGAAAACACTGCCAGTCCATGTGATTGTTATAGCCCTGCTTTTCTGGCAACTTATGTTGACTGTGTTAACAATGTTCAAAAAGGAAACCAAAAAAGGGCTCTTGAAAGTCTTATTATTAATTGTGCGGATTCAAATACCCGCAATGATCTTACTTCCGAATATCTTAAAGAAATCTATCTGAATGAAACAAACAATTTCATTAATTTTACAACATACGATAATCAAACAGAAACTTTTAATCCTCTTCGGTTTTCTATAGATGATATCAATTTGTATTATCGTTCATATAGTTCCGATGCATATTCACTTTATTCCAGTCAGCTTTATGGGTACGTTAAAATTTTCAAGTAACCTTATCATCTTAAGTTTTCATCTAACATAAACAGTGGTCTCATGAACGCTTACTTTGCTGGGGTTCTGGCGATAGCTACAATCTCCAATTTGTTGCGACACTGCACACCAGGGTTTATCCATTCCATTTCTCAATATCGAACTGTACTTTGGGTACGTCAAAACTTTGCTAATCCTGCCCTCATCTTACAAACACAATGTCCCAGTCAAATGGGGTATAATCAACATGTCACTTCCAACACGCGCTCAGGGATGGGTTCTAGCAGGCTACATTTGCATGTTTATTATTTTTATGTTTATCAAGTATGATATTTTTGAAGGTGATGTTCTTTATTCGACAAAAAGAGAGGAGCTACTTCAATTTGTTGCAGAGCGAAGTGGAATTATTGCTGTAACTCAATTTCCACTTCTTTTTCTATTCGCTGGTCGTAACAATTTTTTACTCTGGGTAACAGGACTTTCTTATGATACAATGAATGTGTATCACCGATGGATTGCTAGAGTCATAGCTGTTGCATCTTTCATTCATGCTGTCTGCTTTAGTTTGTGCTATCAAGACCAAGGAAACTATCCTGGGTTTTTTGAAGAAGATTATGTAAGATGTGGTGTAGCTGCGATTGTTGCGGTATTCCTTCTTATTTTTTTCTCGCTCCGTCATTTTCGCGAACGCGTGTATGAAGTATTTCTTACCCTTCACTGGGCATTTGGTATCGCATTTACAGTTGCCATATGGAGTCACTTAGACGAAGTTGGGTATAGCGAATGGTTATATGCAGCTGTTGGGGTATGGGCTTTTGATCGCGCTTTACGTTTACTTAAAATTGCCCTGAACGGAGTAAAGGCACACGCTAATGCTGAACTCCATCCACAAAACCTTATCAAAATGAAAATCAGATACAAAAATCTTTGGAGGCCTAAAGCAGGAACCTACGTTTTTGTGCATTTTCTTAACATGTGGGGTTTTTGGGAAAGCCATCCTTTTAGTGTTTATCCATCATTTGTTGAAGGGGAACAAGGCATCTTAGTTTTGTGTATGCGTGTCCGCAAAGGTAAAACCCGGGAGATTGAAAAGTATCTTGAGAAACAGCAATACGGTTTTAAAATTCTTCCTGTGTTTATTGACGGGCCTTATGGAAACTCCTTTCCAATTCAAAATTCTGAATCAATTGTTTTTATTTCTGGCGGGATTGGTTTTACAGCTATGTACTCATATGCGTGTAATCTAAAGAACCTCCATCAGAAGGAACAAACCACTTTTATTTGGGTTATTCGAAATAGAGAAAACATTGAAACATTCAAAGAGGAGCTAGCTTATCTGACAAATAACGGCAATTTTAATCTAGTACTTTACATCACTAACGAATCAGTTAGTTTACAAAACCTAAACATCCATGAAATTGAGACCAGTGGTATCAGCGACAAAGGAGGTGAAGAAAATACTGGTGATTTAACTCAAAAAAGATTTCAAATTAATTTTGGAAGACCAAATATTGAATCTATTATGAGCAACGCTATTGCAGAAGCACCAGGTAGTATTGGATTTGCCGTTTGCGGGCCAGAAAGAATGAATGACGATGTGCGATTTTATGGAACTAAGTATATGGGCATGGGTAAGGGCTGCGTCGATGTCTATATAGAGGCATTCAATTGGTAATTGCCAATTAATATATTATAATATTTTTACAACAATTAAATGTTTTAGAGCTGGCTTTTTCTTAATATTTTTGGATATTTTAATAAATTTAATGGAGATATGATAAATATACAGAAGAAAAAGTTAATAAAATAAGCCAGAAGGTTTATATCGTAAGTTCTTTTAAATTTTCATTATTAAAAAAACCTGGAAACGTTTTCTAAAAATAAATGTATAAGAACTTTTCAAAGTCATATACAATATTTTCTTATTTATTTATAGACTAACCAGTTAAACGTTTATTATGAAAATAAAACGAACGGTCAGTTTGGCATAATTGCTTAGAAAATCGTTATCAATTCAATTTATTTTATTTTATAGGAAAAATGATTCCACAGTTTACAAATTGGATAAATGAGAATCAATACTTAAATATATGCAATCATTCAAAATATAATTGAGCTCCTTTTTTCAGTTTCTTATATAGAAAAGGAAATAAGATTGCTAAAACCGGTGAAGCTTACTTCCGAACAAATAAAAACGAATTTCGGTGTTTTGTAGTCAATAGGTTAAACAACTCATTAGGAGATAGAATACTCAGATCAAACCTAATTGTTGTTGAGCTAATCCATCTTCAAAAACTTTTGGCTTTACCTAAATTCTTCAAGAAGCTTTTAAATATTTTTGAATCATGAATGGGAAACTTTCTTGAGATACTTGAAAGCGTATACTCAATTACCTAAAAAAATTCCGCAATACATGGATTTACCAATACATATGTTTAAATATACTTTTAAGGCCATTAGAAATCCGGTCCTCTCATACGCAAATGAAGTTTTGTTACTAAAGAGTTTAGCGAAAAACAAAAAAAAAAAAAAAAAAAATACCGTCTCAGTTCATGGTTCGTAGTTCAGCTATTTCTCTATAGTGGCGATGACCAGCTTTTTATTAGTGGGTGATAATATTAATTTGGAATCAACATCGTTAAGCAGTTTTTCCGTTTAAATGCAAATGAAATGACCATATAAGTTAGAAACGATTATTAATTGGTTAAAATAAAAGACATTCCAAGATCAAATGTAAACAAAGAAAATTTGTAATTTAGAAGTAAAGGGAAGATTACTTGTAGTTAATAACCTAATGAAATTTCTGAATCCGGATTTATCAACTGTGATGTTTGTTAGTGACAAAAGAGATACTGTCCGAGTCATTTAGTGCCGGAACTTAGCAAAACATTCTTGTAAAAGCTAAACATTATTTTTTTTTTTTTGCCTGTATTAAATTTAATGGTTTTGCAACAATCCATTATTAGCTGGTAAAAAAAATTCTAGTTATAATTGAATAAATATCCCTCTATGGTTGTTGGAACATGGAAAGGCTGGTGGAGTGGTGACTGAGTTAACGTATACAAGGAATAGGAGGACCCTCGGTAAAGTGTTTAGTGGTTTTCTCCCCACATTCAAACCAAAATGGGCTTGTGCTTAGATATGATTAATTAGTGATTGTGGCCGTCAGTTGTAACCGTTTTTTATTTCAAATGACTTTAGATTAAATACTTGAGTTAGATATTTTCCAGGTAATAAGTCAATGTACTCCCTGGGCTCTCAATTTTAATTAAACGAGTTAAAATTAGTTAGTTACGACAGCTGTTTAGCCAATCAATATCACATCACGTGATTAATTATTTAAAAATATTTCAGTGTTTCTAGTTTTCTTTTTCAAGTACCAAACAAAAAATAATAACAACAGTTCCAGTTCTCTAAACAAGCTGAAGGTCAGGATCTATAACCTATGACTTAGGAAAGATGGGAAAATGTTGAAAAAAACTTAAGATTTTGAATTCTTAGATTACAATACAATTTGATGTTTAAATATGAGCTAATTATATACTATATATACAAAGTAAAATTTCCCAATAACCTGATCCTATTCAAAAAAAAAAAAAGAATAGTTGATAGTTCATTAACAGGCTTGAGAAGTACATTTTTAATTTTTAAAGTCTAATGTTTGATAGTAAAATATCAGTAAATTGAATACTTTATGAAAATAGAAAAGAGTTAACTGGTCATCTCATTTTAATCAGATAAAACAAAACTTATGAGCTCATCTAATAATTCAAAAGAACAACTAACTATTCACCAATATTTAAGATTATTGTGATTCTACAAAACGAAAAACCCGGACAAACTAATTAACATGCAAACTTTTGATTGAGGAATTAGTACGGAATCAAAGAGAGTTTGTCTAATTACACAATGTAGTTTTACCCAAACGACAATACAATTCAAACTTGGACCAGCTTATAATTTATTCATTCAGTGATAATAGCTTGACTGAGCGTACATACTATTATGTGTTCGAGGACCTTTAGAAGACGATTGTGGGGAGAATTGAATTGAAAGAAAAAAAAAAGAAGAAAAGTAGTTTTGGAGGGGTTCAAAAAACTCGGTAAGTTATATAGTTGTGATATATAGATTTAAGAAGAAGAAAAAGAAACAATTTTTTTTTCAAGATCAGTTGAGATTTTATTATTTTTGAAATATTTCCCCCCAGAATGCAGTGTTGGGAAAAGAAGGTTTGGAGGGGTTCCCCACATGGCTCAACAAGCCTCGGCAGTTTTGCTGACAAAGTGTTAGCCTGATTTTTTTTTTTGTCACCCCCACACTAGATAATTTGTGTACAATATAAATACGAAGACAAATTACGTGGGGAAAAGATTTTAACCTCTTACTATTACTCAAGTCGTTTATTTTCCCCTTCTTTTTCATTATCACTAGTATTAATTCCATTTTTTTTCTTAAAAAAAAAGCATTTATTTCCCTGTCTAACTTAAAAAATATCCAAATAAAAATTCACAATGTCTGTTGAAATACCCGATATCGTCAAGCCACTAGTGTCTCAGCGTGGTCTGGAGACCCTGATTAAGGTCAAGACGTTTGTTGAGGAAGAATGTATTCCTGCTGATAAGCTATACCATGCACAGATCCGTAACGGTGACGAGCGATGGAAGTCAGTTCCTCCTGTGATTGAGGAGCTTAAGGCTAAAGCTAAAGCCCGTGGACTGTGGAACTTGTTTTTGCCCTCGTACTATTCCGAGGGTGCCGGGTTCACGAACCTGGAGTATGGGCTCATGTGCGAGCAAATGGGCCGATCCCATACTGCACCGGAGGCAATGAACTGTGCAGCCCCGGATACTGGCAATATGGAAGTGTTTGCAAGATATGCAAATGAGGCGCAGAAGAAGGAATGGTTAGAGCCGTTGCTGGAGGGCAAGATCAGATCTGCATTTTGCATGACTGAAAGATTTGTTGCTAGTTCTGATGCTCGCAATATTCAGCTTAAAATCACAGTGGATGAGGAGCGCGATGAGTACGTGTTGAATGGAACCAAGTGGTGGGCTTCTGGTGCAGGCGACCCTAGATGCAAGGTGTGGCTGGTCATGGGCAAGATTGTGGATAAGCAGGGCAATGTTTCGACCAACGACGTGTACCGCCAACAGTCAGTCATTATTGTTCCTTCTAATACTCCTGGGTCAGTTGTTGTGAGACCTATGCGTGTTTACGGTTATGATGATGCACCCCATGGCCATTGCGAAATTCAATTTACCAACTGCCGAGTTCCACGCAGCAATATTGTGCTTGGAGAAGGCCGTGGGTTTGAGATTATCCAGGGCCGATTGGGACCTGGCCGTATCCACCACTGCATGCGAACAATTGGAGTTGCGGAGCAAGCATTGAGATGGATGATTTACCGTGCTGCTGATGAGTCGAAGCGCACATTTGGAAAGTTGTTGCGCGAGCATGGTACCATGAATGCCAACATTGCTAAGTCTCGTATTGAAATTGATGCTGCCCGATTGCTTGTTCTTGCAGCAGCACACAAGATGGATGTACAAGGGCCTAAGGCTGCTCTTGTAGACATTGCCAAGGCCAAGGTCACGGCTCCCACGGTTGCATTGACGGTGGTTGATCGTGCAGTGCAATCGTTTGGAGCCATGGGTGTTTCACAGGACACCCCATTGGCATACATGTGGGCTGGGAACAGAACTCTGAGAATTGCTGATGGTCCAGATGAGGTCCATACTGACCAATTGGGACGCCGTGAGTTGCAGCGCGTTAAGGCCATTCAGACTGAGTTTGCCAAACGCGAGGCCAAGGAGGCCGAGTTTATGGCCAAGTTGTGATTGTTGATATGAGCATATATATAAATATAAATATGTTATCCAGTTATATAACCTGGTAAGGAAACATTTATTACTGAGTAAGTAAATGTTATTAGTAAGTTTTGTAAAAAAAAAAAAAAGAAATAAAAATATTAGTTTTTGTTACACAATTTTGTTACAAGTAATTTTTCAAAGCTCGAGAAATTAAAAAAAAATGGTGGTGCAAACCAACACGGCAAGTTAATTTTTGGCCATTTCGTGGTTAGGGTTTCAAAAACAAGATAAAATTGATTTTAGGCTGGTAAAATTAGACAAGATGACCAGCTTAAAATCAATTGTAAAATTAGACAAGATGACCAGCTTAAAATCAATTTTATCTTGTTTTTGAAACCCTAACCACGAAATGGCCAAAAATTAACTTGCCGTGCAAAGAGTTAAACCAACCGCCAGCGAGATGTTGGCAAAACAACAACAAAAAAAAGACCACTTTTTTTTTTTTTTTTTTTTTTTATAAAATCAGATATTTCGATTGAATAGAATTGAATTGAATTTTTAGTTTTTTATTTATTTTATTTTTTTAGTTATAATATTTTATAAAATTCTATTTCTAAAAAAAAAAAAAATCATTAATATTACCAATGATTTAATAGATTTCTAATTTCAAAAGGTTTGAGCAAAGAAAAGCGAGACCAATTTTTTTTTATTTGTTTTTATTTTTTGGTAATTATTTGGGCAACCACTAAAAACGCTTGGATTTTTTCAAAGACTTAATGAGTGGCTCAATTGACACCCAGACAAACAGATAGATATAAAATTTACATACACAACAATGTTTATATTTCTTTTGACGTTTATCATTTTTATAATTTTTATTTTTTTTTTCACATTAGAATAGAAGAAGAAGTAGTAGACAATAAAAAAGAGATGAAAGCGAAGAAAAAAGAGAGATTGAGAGAAATGAAGACAGTTTATACAAATTATTTCTTGGGAGGGTTGTAGATGAATTTTCTAGTCTTAATGGGAGCCCACTTCCATCTCTTAACCCAGATAGAAATAGCCCAAAGGGAGGAGAGGATTATAAGAGCCTTAAGACCAGCACGCTTTCTGTCGTCGTGCTCAGGCTCAGCAGCCCAGTTGAGGAAGTTGACAACATCCTTAGCCATCTGAGAAGTGGTAGCAGGAGTGCCATCTTCGTACTCAACGAGACCGTCAAAGAGAACACGACCCATGGCAATACCACCACCGGGGAAGTAGGGGTTGTAGTTAAGGCCAGGGGCAAGGGTAACACCGGCGGGGGTTTCCTCAGGGTAACCGGTCAAAAGAGCAAAGATGTAGTCGCAGCCACCGTGTCTGGCCTTGACCATAAGAGAAAGATCTGGGGGGAGAGCACCCTGGTTGGCGGCACGAGCAGCCTGCTCGTTGGCGTAAGGAGCGGGCATGTAGTCGGCGAGCTTACCGGCACGCTTGCGGGGGTTACCCTCATCATCGGGTTCGTCGTCGTACTCAAATTCGGCAGCCATAGCGCGGACTTCGTCAGAGGTGTGAGTAACACCGACAAGAGTACGCCAGGCAACGAGGTTAAGGGAGTGGCAGGCAGCACAGACCTCACGGTAAACCTGGTAACCACGGCGCAGGGAGGAGTGGTCAAATGTGGAGAGGGCCTTTTTCTGGTCCCAGTCGTATTCTGGGGCGTGAAGACCGTGCTCGGCATCGGTCATAGCCTGAGCAGGAGTAGCGTAAAGGTGCGCATAGTAGGCGGAAAGACCAACAGCGGTGGCAGAGGCAACAATGGCCTGCTTCGTCAGTCTTGAGGACTGTCTAAGGGCCTAAAGAAAAAAGAACAAGTAGATATGGTTAGAATTGCAATTGCGGTGAGTGGCTGGTTTTTTTTTTAAAGTCGTTATAAAGAGTAAAATGTATAACGCTGCAAGTAAATTAGAGTGTTGATGAGTTGCAAGTAACGAAAATGTTATTGGTAATTGAGAACAAGAAGAAGAAGAAGAAAGATAAAAAGTATACAAGTAGTAATGGGTGTATTAAAGGTACTGTTTGTTTTTCAAAAAGGTCATTTTGGTATTATTATTGTATCATCATAATATATTTTTCAATTAATCAATCAATCAACAGAGAGCAGCAGGGAATACATTTGCAAGAGAAACAAGGACTTTAAAAAACCGGCCGAAACAAGTAGCGAAATGATTATGAACAGGACATACGTTGAATCTGAACATGTAGGGGGATTGATGATGATGGAGGATAGATGGACAAAAGTGCGGGCGAGGCGACTTGGTGAGAGTATAGAAGAAAAAAGAGGAGGAGGAAAAGCAGAAAAAAGAGAGAGAGAGAGAGAAAAAAAAAAAAAAAGGAGGTTTGTGTAAGGTGGGTGGTGTGGATTATTGAATTTAGAGAGGAAAAAAAAAAAAAATTTAAAAGCGTTTTGGCTGGTGGGCCCACTGGTAACTTGCTTAACAAGAAACCTACACCTCCCTCCCTACGGAGACACCATGTGCCGAAGACACTAGGCTTCAAAAGGTTACTTATAATAACAAAAGTTACCACGTTCCTGTATGTTATCCACTTAAGTTCTATTGTAAGGCGAATCTGCGCGGTGGTGATTGGCAGTAGTTACCCGGCATTGCCCGTCCTGCTTATTTGCTGTCGCTGCCATTGGCCGTCGTTGCCTCTTCTGGCGCGTTTGCCTACCACCACCACCACCACTGCCAAAAATAAAAAATAAATAAATAAAAAATAAAAAAAATCTCCACGACAAAAAAAAAAAAAAAAAACCACCACCACCACCACCATGCACGTTACAGAACTAATTTTTTATTAATTAATATGAGATAAAAAAAAATCAATTTAATCATATTAATGATAATAATTCCATATATTTTCACCAACTGTTTTTTTTTTTTTTTTAATTTTTAATGAAAATAATAATAATAAAAAAAAACACGCGTTTAAAAATATTCCTATGGGAAGCACCCTGCCATAATCGCTGGTGATGATGATGTTGTTGTTGTTGTTTAATTAATAATAATAGCTGGCTGGATGGCCGGCCGGCGCTCCGTAAGACTCTTCGCAGCCCATCTAATTGGCCAG